TTTTCCTCGGGAATATCAATTTTTTCCGAGTTAAAAAGTACCCTATTATTTAATCCGGATTTCTAACTTTACGTCTGCAAAAATTCAAAGCAATCGGTTGAGTAGTTACGACGTGAAGGTGGAACAAACAAACAAACAAACAAACAAACTCACTTTCAGATTTATAATATTAGTAAGGAAGTAAGGATAGTTGCGTACGGCTTCGCAGTATATCATGCTCTCATTTTGTATGATCTTTGTGCACATTTAACGGTCAGTTTATACTGGTTGTGCATAATTTGATGTGTCGAATCACGTTTTAACAATCTCAACGTGTTGTTTGCTTCAGGACGATTGTTCTGGTATATGGGGCGGCTATGGAGAAGCCAGGGAAGATCTACAATTATGGGCACACGATGATGATGACGGCGCACTGACTGGTAAATATTTATTTTATGTATATTTATATTATTGTATGGAAGTTCAGTTCATAATACTATTCGATACATAATACTAGCGTATTATGTATCGAAGATTCTCTCGATAATGGATTTCTTAATTAATTCGATTTCAAAGAAGAAGGTATGTTTGGCCGCAATTTTCTCACGATTTGGTCAACTGATTGTGATGCAGATTTCATAAAAGTGTTTGTTACACTTAAGAGCAGGTTTTAAGGATATAACCAACTTCAAAAAATAAGGCAGATGTAGCATTTAACAAAAATAATTATTGAAAATTATTGTCCTAAATGCTATGAAAATTTTATAATAGGGTGTGTGAAACGTCGATGCAAAGCCTAAAAGCTAAAGTGACAGTTACTTCAGAAAATTTGGCACATATTAAGCCAAACTTTTCATAGAGTCTTTAATTAAGTCTTTTTGCATGACACTCAGTGAATTAGTTACCAGAGATTACACTAGAGTGGAGATAAGAGATTAAGGTCAAGGATAGACTAGGAGACAAATATCCTAAAGCATGTATCGGCGCAATGTCGAGCGAAACCGACAACGCGCAACCTATGTCCACAGTGACGTTGATGTTGATGTTGTCAGACATGTCGACAAAGTTCGGCAACGTCGCGCTACTTCACCCGACATCGCTGGCGACACGTGTCGCACGACATTTACCTCTCGTGTATTTAGAAGGGTTGCTTTTCCTGAAAGTAAGTCAATATAATATATTTTGTTTCAGATATAACATGTATCAATGACGGAACCTTCACGTACGGACAGATACAGGTATTGTGTTATTTCAACTTAATTTTCCAGTATATAAAAATAAACCCAGTTTACTGTATTTAATAATATAAGTTGATACTACAAATTTAGTTGTGTGTAATTTTTAGCAAAATTTTATTAGGTGTGAATGAAACGTTTCCGAAAATGCAGACAAGAACATATTTTTAACTGTTTTTTTTATTCGTGTTATTCATACAACATCAGCCTTGAGCAGTTGCATTACATAAAAGAAACATTTGATTCGTTTTTTTGAAAATAAAACTGATTTTTTACCATCACCTGTCTTCGTTTTTTGGAAGTGTTCCATTCACACCCTGTATGCATATTGCATAGTATACTATACACGTAACCTGCCATACTAACCATATACTCGAATGTTCCAGGCTGATGGCAGTCCGTTAATGTTGCCCGGATCTTCGGAACCGAGCAAGCGCAGTCGGAGCCTCCGAGGAGAGATTAGCTCCACCTCGTCTGCTGCCTCATCGCCCAAGTACGTAATTTGTTTTAATTTAGTACTTATCTATGTTTTAAATAAGTTTATATTGCTGGCATAGTGTGATCGCAAGCACTACTATTGGGTAAGCGATCTCTAAGTTCGAGGGTTGATATTATAATACCATTTTATTTTGATAGTCTTGCTGATTGTAGAGTATTCGTCAATACCAAACTACTTTCAGGTCTTTAGATTTTTTTAATAATTGCGATAAGTGTGGAATCATATATGACAATTGATTCACCGTCTACTACAATATGGGACTAAATGTAATTCGTAACATACTTGGCAAGATACGTCTACGTTCCGGCGAACCATGACTTAATTCACGTCTCCAAAATCTATTTCTATTAACACCTGGGGTTTACGGTATATCCAGCACTAATTAATATTCTGTCAACGATACTCTGCATTTTGGCTGACATATGGCTATTATTGTGCAATTATATCTTAGACTGCGCACAATATACAAAATGATGATCTGCGCAAGGTCAACGGTCGCTTTTGTCCATCGATTCATATTTTGAGATGCTTTACAACTGTAAAGCCTAAAAGTATAATAAACTTGTTGTCTTACAGATATTGGTTGATTGTGTTTAAATATATAACGTCATAATCGCTTAAATAATAGCCCTTTAATCCCATAACGGGTCAGCAGACGTGCACGTATGCGGTGTAACGTTCATGTCACTGGTTATAGCCGGCAAACACTGGATACTATTACAGACTCTGTGCTGCTACTAAAAAATACTGGAAACACACCAATAATTATGTCCTTTGTCCTACATACATACTGAAATAATCTTAATAAAACTTTGCCATACCCCATGCTTGGAAATAAAGTACTTAAAATACTACTTCATTTATGGAAATCATAACAATTTTCTATATTATTCCAGACGTTCACAGCGGCGCAGTAATGGTAATGCCGACGATTGGTGGTCACCTCTTAGGCAGCGATTTGGAGACAATACTGATATCAATGCCATACAGGAGGTTAGTAAACTATTCTTACAATTTTAACACGCAATATGTTTTTAGCTCCAAAGATACTCAGGGGGTAAATGTCCTGCGACACGTATCGCCAGAAACGTTGGGTGAGGCAGCGTGACATTGACGGACTTTGGTCGACACGTTTGGCAACAACACGTCACACACAACTCGCGCGTTGTCCCGTTTATGCCAGGCGACATCGGCCGGCTACTTTTTTTTATGGCCGGTAATCTAGCAGACGGATCACCTGATGGTAAGCAATCGGCGTCGCCCATGGACACCTGGAACACCAGAGGCGTTACAAGTGCGTTACCGCCCTTTTGGGGATGAGGAGTTTGATGATCGTTGAGGATTCAGGTATTGGGGAGATTGGGGAAGGGGAGGGTAATTGGGCCTCCGGTAACCTCACTCACACGACGAAACACAATGCAAGCGTTGCTTCACGTCGGTTTTCTGTGAGGTCGCTGTGCTTCGCTCGACATGTCTAGAGACATTTCTCCCCCAGTGTATCCTTGGCCTAAAAGTTATGTGTTGTGTGTGTTAGGTCTACTAATCCGTGAATATTACTCCGTCTCAATAGAAACAACAAACATGTAAGGTACAGGCTCGGACAAGTTTAGATGTTAGTTTCCATAAACTGTTTACCAAAAGATTTTGTTACAATAAACACTTTTTATTTATTTATTTTTTACCTAGGAGACTCTATACTCTCAGACAAATAGTGAATGTTGCTGCCAATATTCTTGATTATATGTACTTGTAATACCAATAAGGATACACACGGTGTGCGCTCGGTACTGTTTGCTTTGGATTTCAGCTGGACGGGGAGCACGTCCAGCTGAAATCGCACGATTCGATAATATTACAATATTTATTCAAATTACAAATTACTGTAGACACTGTTCTACATACAATAGCGTATTAGAAGCCGTAGATGGCTAATGGTGTCAACGTAATAAATTAATTATTTATTAATATACATTTCTTACAAGTACATAACATTGTTTACAGGAATACTATAGGTACCAAATAGCCTAAAATTTTCCTTTATAATAATAATAATTATCTATTGAGGTCATAGACATATTTTGTTTTTGTAAATGAATAAAAGGAAACAGTGATATTTAATATTAGTGTGGTTTCTATAATGGTAGGTAAACTAATGTTAATAAGATACATGAGTTACGTGACACCGACGAAGCTATGCGCATAAGTACATTTTTGTATCTGCATGCATATGTACTTTTACGTAAGAATTGTGGAAGAAATGCAGTTGTAGGAGTTATTTCATATACACATAATCTGAGCTTACAGTATGAAATACGATAGGCTTATTATACCGAACATCGCATTCCAAGCTCGGCAATTACGTAACCGAACTGTGTATTCTTGTTTAGAAGTATTTAAATTGATAAAACACGTTGTCTTTTTATTTCGTTGCAGAAATAGTCTTTACAATTTCGATTAAGTTCAACTTTTATTAGAAAATCAACTGATTCTAGCATTTATTTATATTTTCTTTTCTCTACAGACGGATATTGAACCAGAGCCTTTGTTAGTGGAGACGCGCACTAGTCGAGTCGCTCAAACGGGCACACAGACATCCCCGGACAGAGGCGACAGCGTGACCGCCATGCAGCTCTACATGGGACCTTCTAAGATAAATGTATGTATTATCATGACATAACATCACGTCTTTCATCCCAAAAGGGGAAGCAGAGGTGCACATTACGGCATTTAATGCCACTAAAATGTAACACCCACTTTTCACTATTTATGTTATTAGTCCCATGTAATAGAGGTAAACCTATTGCCATATACCAAGCGCAATTCCAGACTCCGTGCTACCACTGAGATTTTTTTTTTAAACCCATTAGTACTTTGCCCGACCTGGGAATCGAACCCGAGACCCTTTGCCTGGCAGTCGCACTTGCGACCACTCGGCCAACGAGGCATGTATTATCCGAACCTCATATAAGTGATTAGTTATTTTTTATGGGACCGTCCCGTAGATAATAAAGACGGGTCGCCTGATAGTAAGCAATCCTCGCCGCTCATGGATACCCGAAACACATGACGACTTACAAGTACGTTGCTAGCCTCTTAGAAGTTAGGGATTTGCAGGTTAAAAATTTGGTGAACCTCACTCAGACGGCAAAAATAACACAAGGTTTATTTCTTGCCGGTTTATGTGAAAAGGTTGTACCACAGCATGTGAAAATGCTCTAGGGCCGGGAAGAACTATTAACATTTATTTTGCCCAGCAGGACCTAACTGGCACTTTAAGCCCAAAGGCAATGCCACGAGACCGGACACCAAGTCGCGCAAGAGCTTACAAGCGCACATCATCGCCTCCGCCACTACCAACTCGATCGGCTCCTGCGCCACCCCCGCCAAGGAAACATGCGCTCAGTCCTGCTCAAGCTGAGTGCTTACGAGCCGTTTTCGCCGCTCTATTGTGGCATGAAGGTATACTTTTCTTTGTTTATTTAAAGACAGAAGGGTTTTAGGTACCAAGCAGTCTAGATGCGTAGACGATAGTGTTGAAACTGTTCATAGACACGCATGTCTACGCATACGCATCCAGTCTGCTTGAGCTGATAGTCTTATATATATTTTAGGGTGCCGTCTGCTTACGTGTATTAATCATAAAAGACTATCTTGCTGAGTCGTGACTAAATTGTCACATAGGTACCGGGAATCAAAAGTTGGAACTGTATAGTTCACTCGTCATCTAGGACGGGAGGTGTCATTTAATGATTTTGCATCCAAAACAGGTCATCTACAATCACAGGTTTTATGATTTTGCGTAACCTTTCAAGTTTAATTCAACTACACAGCTACACAAAGAATGAGAGCAAGAACTTCAACTCAACAAGGTATTTCGTGCTCTCCTAGGAAGCATGAGTCACTTTGTTGTGAAACTATTCTCATACTTAAAGTATATTTTAAGTTATAATGACTAAGTAATAACGGTTTTCTTAGAATTATTTCCGCTGTTATCTCAAATTACTCGTTGTGTTCTTAGAATAATATTAAATGTAACTCTATTATGAATACGTAGGTAGTTGTTGGGTACTTAGAATGTATATTGTTACCTACTGAGACATTTAAAGTTTTCGCTATTTGTAATTGTAAATTTTCTCAATTAATTGGGCAATAATATCTTTGTTAACACAAAAACACACACATAAATACTGGAATGTAAATAATTGAATTTTAGGTTTTGAAAAGTAGAAATAATGATGGTGTTACAGTCCAAGTGATTAATTTGATATTATTCCCAATGACTGGTCATTATACATAATAACCAAATTGTCTAGTCAATGTAATAAATTAAACACCTTATCCAGATATTATTAATACTTTAACTGTCAAGTTTAAAATGGTGAAAGTCAAACCTCCACTAGCGTCAGGCACCGGTGACTGACGTGGCGCTCTAAGGGTTAATAATAGCAGGCTCAAGTTAACTAAACTGATAAATACGATCTAACGGCCCACTCACGAGTGCGGTTTTAGCGGTGAGCGAGGTGGCGTCGTTGAAAATCACGCCACGCGCTGAACGACTAGCCAAAATGAGCACAGCTGAGTCTAAATCCGCCGCAGCTGCGCAAAATGTTATACTTTTCATCATGGGTGTCATTTACATGGTTTTTGAGGGTAGTAACAACCGATGGTGCTGGCAAAATATAAATTCAAGATGGCCGCTGTCAGGAATTTTCAATTTATTGTCATGGGTGTCGTTTATATGGTTTTCAAGGATGGTAAAATCGATGGTGCTGTCAAAATGTAAATCCAAGATGGCCGCTGCATAATATTTTCAATTTATCGTCCTCGGTTTCGTGTTCATGATTTTCGGAGGTGATGAAACGAATAGTGCTGTCAAGATGTAAATCTAAGATAGCGGCGGCACGAATTTATAAATTTATCTTCATGAGTTTGAATGCACGGTTGGTGCGGTAGCTGGGCAACCGGCTGCCGTGCAACGTGTCGCGGGTTCGATTCCCGCACGGAACAATACTTTTTGTGAACCACAAATTTTTGTTTTGGGTCTGGGTGTTATGTGTATGTGAACTTGTATGTTTGTAAACGCACCCAAGACACAGGAGGAAATCCTAGTGTATGGCAACGTTTTCTAAAAAAAAAGTATCATTTTCATGGTTTTTAAAGTTGGCAAAACTGATGGTGCTGTCAAAATGTTAATTCAATACGCCTTTAATTGCTAAACTAACAAAGAAACATGATCTTCCTCCAGGTATAGTCCACGACGCCATCGCTTGTGCAGCGTTCCTAAAGTTCCACCCGCAGCTTCCCAAGCAGGGAGCCCGCGTGGTCACCCGACAGGCTCATGACGTCACTCCTGCTCGACATCAGAGGCACTCCGTAGAAGTTTCTAATGCTGGTGAGTTTATGACGTCATAATCCACTATTTTTTTAAACGAATCATCCGGCCTGACCAAAAAACCGGTGTGAAACAATATGTTTTTAGTAAGGCCGTTACAACCACATAAAACTGCTGTACTTCCTAATTAGATAGATGATTTTAGAAAGATATTTACGGAGTAGGATCTACTCGTACAGTATACATGAAGCAACGCTTGCGCTGTGTTGCGGTTAGTCACAAGCTGCAAGTGAAGCTGATTGTTTACTATTAGGTATGGCCTCTTAACTTTTGGTCCCTATTCCGTAAAAATTCAAAGTGATGCCGTTAGCTAGTAAATTATATTTATGTTTACCAGGCCTGTTGCGTATTCATCCAACGACATTGGAGACATTGACGCGATCCGGCATTGAAGCGAGCACCAGTCGCATGCGCAAGGTGGACTTCGACACGCCTATACGGGAAGAGGAGAACTTACCTGGTCCCAGTACTGAACCAGGTATGAAATAATCTCAATGAACTGAATTTTTATATACGTATTATAAAACCCAAATCATGTTTATTATTTGTTTCCTCAGCAGGTTCCTCACGTTACGTGGTCAACGTGCTGCCGCCCGCGATGCGTGCGTTAGTCGCGCTTTGGGACGCTCTCTACGACGCTGACCAGCTCACATCTGCTACAGACAAGTAAGATATTTATGTTATTTATTGAACTTATAAAAACACAATTGTGGTACCTCTTCCTGATATCGCACGTGTACTTCGGCTACGGTGGCTGCTTATCATCAGGCGACCCGTAGATTTGTTGCTAAAATATTGTCACATTACCTTTTAGGTTGAAGAAAGAAGAAAAGAACGAAAACGACGAAGCGAAATCGTACAGCGGTATTCGTAAGAAGAGAGAGTGGAATACAAGGACGGGCAAAACACCTTATTCAGGTATGTACTTACTTAAACGCACCTATATGACACTGATATAGTTTTATTCATTCTAAAAATCAAAATAAACCGGAAATTAATGTATGGTCCTCGATATTATATATTACTTCTGTGACTATTTTAACTACTTAGATCATAGGTATAGATTAGCGAACAAAACATTATGAGAGGTTCAATTTTCTGATCAGGTAACTTTATAATGCATTGTGACCTTCCCAACAATACGTACAATGAAATTGTCCGATACTTTACAATGAAGCTTTAGGGCTGTCATCTATTATATGAAACCTAAGGACTTTTTGGCGAAAAGTGCCAATCCCTACCTTGTCACCTTTTCAGTCCAATGCGACTTGTGCGGAGGAACCAACGTGCCGCCTCCATTAGCAGCACACATGAGGACAGCTCACCCAGGGTGTAAGAACCCAACCACGAAGGGATTTGACCGCACTGGCACATACCAGCCGACCAATCCGCAACCAGGGCCAGAACTGCCCCCCACCTCATATTGCGGACAAATGGCTCAGAGTAAGTGATACATTTTATCCTGTTTTTTCTGAGTTTTTTTTATGGGATAGAGCGACGAACAGGCAGATGAAAGATCTGTCAGAATACAATCAGTGCCGCCGCCGTAACATCAGAGGAGTTACAAGTGTACTGTGCATTTTGGGTTTGTGAACTAAGATGGGGGTGAAGATTGTGCATCCGGTAACCTCACTCACATTTTGACACAACGCAAGCGTTTTTAACGACAGTTTTATGTAAGGTTGTGATATTACTCCGGTTGAGCTAGCCTGATCGTGCCGAAACATGAATATCCGCCCTCGTGGACCTTAATCTGAGATTACTTAAAATCAATCACTCATGCTCCCATAGCAGATACATGTAGATTTAAACAACAGGTTCACTAGGCTCACTCTATTATCCCTATTTCTTACAGTATACCAGCTATGGTACATGTTCTGCGAGAAATGTTATGAGAAGGCGATCAAAGCAGCTCCGTCCATTAGACAAGGACGCGCTAAGAGTAGGGCTGAGATGGTGGTGTTCGAGCGCTTGGAGCAACCAGTGACCATTGACCATTGCACTATCAAGGAGAACGCTATTTTCCTCTTGGACTTGGCGCCGCTAACAAATCCAGGTAAGTAATGAATTTTTTTATTAAATGTCTATTAATATTATTGTAACTAGGTTTGGGTCTTGATCTTGTATGTATCGTAGTTGAATGATAGTATAATCCACCGGATAACATTACGTCTAGCCGGATAGAAAAACAGGCCGTTTTGTACGGCGGTTAAACGATTAGCCGGATTAAATAAGACAGATCAAAGTCCGCCAGATAGTGTTCAGTTCTATATGTTATCCAATACAACTAGCCGGAATGTGATAGAGCGGTCAGCATCCGCCTCTTTGTCAATTAACAGTTACAAACGGGATTTCGTAATATCCCTTGGGATTACGTGGAATCCCTGATAACGTAATTTCTCTGACATTTAAAACCAAGTGTTATTTTTGAGTTATGCGCAAACGCATACGAACATACAGACAGACATGTTATTCTTAATAGGTATTAACATTGTGTGTCAAACAATGGTTGCTACTTCCCAAACTACAGTAAACATTTATATCACCTTTTTTGCAACAGAACCAATCAACTTGTCGGCGTGGGCGGACAGTTCCTCCCGCAGTCCGCCGACTCCACCAGGCAGTGTCTGGCAACCGGCGCCACCGTTCCAATGTCTGCCTGCACTAGGAGCCGCACCCAAAGCCTTCGCCGCGTCTGATGCAGCTCGCTACCATTCTTTGGGGAGACCTATGCCACCAGCCGTTGCTCCGCTGGTATGTAGTTTCTTAATAGGTAATATATGAAACGAATAAATGAATCGCTTGGTGGTATGCAATCGGCGCGCCCATTGATAACGGCCTTTTGGAGATTTGGGGGAGTGGGATACGGGGGAGGGGCATACGGGGGAGGGGCATATGGGGGAGGGGGTAAGAGGGAGGGGGTAAGAGGGAGGGGGGATTGGGTCTCCAGTGACTTCAACGACGCATTCAACGACGCACGACGATTTCTCGCTGGTGTTCTATGAGGTTATGCTATCAATCTGGTATATTATTGACCATATGTCACGTAACTTTGGATTTCAAAATTGTAACTGATTTGACTATCTAATCACGTACCTATAGGTTGATGAAATATACGGATACTCCGTAATGATTGGCTTAAAATGGGGCCAATTTTGGTTTTTCACATGTTTGTAGAGTTCAAGGAAAGCTAAAGTGTAATAAATATAAAGAAAAATGAAATATGAAGGAAATACACCGCTGGTATACGAATAATGTACCATTCCTTTCTATTTCAGACGTCAGCATTCGGCGGTATAGAGGGTAACACAAGTTCGAACTGGCCTCGAGTACATCGTTCAGTGTCAATGGGCCAGGCAGGAGGCAGAGACCTCGCGAACGCGGCCCGACCCCCACTCGACCGAGATACTCCTATGGACCAGGATACCCTCACCGGCAAGTCATTAAATTGATTTTCGTATATTATTATTACTTTTCCGTGTTATAGAGGAACATCTTGGCAATCCGCCCATCGACTAACGTTTTATTGACAAAAAAACAAATGCTTACATTGTGAACATAACATAATATGTTAACTATTACAGTTGTCTGTACAATCAGTATTTATCATAACTAAATCGGTTCTGTCTTCTGAATGTTTGTCATAATTCATTTACACTTTGTGACTGTTGCTCAATCGGAAATTGCGAAATATTTCATGTGCGTATCAACCGGTACCGCTTTACCTAAGCCAATCCAAATATTACGTCGCAATCAAAAAGTGGTGAATTAGATATACGCAACTCTCACGTACTAGACAAAACGTAGTAACATTACGTCACTACTTCCTACTTTTAATTCGTGAGAGGGTGGTACTTCCCCATTCGGTTCACGTTTCATTGTCAAAGTCAAAGTCAAAATCATTTATTTCAATTAGACCAGGAAGGCACTTTTGAACGTCAAAACAAAATATTTAAATATTAAATAATAAGAAAAAATGTCAGTCTGTAGGTCAGTCCTCTAGTAGTCTAGTTCCAAAGTGTAGATTCCTATGGAAAAGAACGAGCAAGAAACTCCAAAGGTTACTTTTTTGCAATCATGTTGTTTGTTCTTGTTCCAGGAGCTGGATCATCTCTCTTAGCTCAACCTAGTGCAGCATTACGCCGTCTGATTGGGTGCGGAGACTGGACGGCTGGTGCTTCTTTATCAGCGTTCGAGGCGCCACGTGTAGACTCCGACTCACTCATGAATAGCCCCGTCATGGCGTTTATACTGTCGAAGCGAGACCTGCATGCGCATAGACAGAAAATGGACGCTGCTATCCGAATAAATACCGTGCGACAGTATGCTTTTGAGGTAAGTAAAGCATGTTATTGTTCCAGCCAAAGTGATTAATTTGATATTATTCATATTGACTGGCCATTATACATAATGTCTAGTGAATTTGGTCAAAGTGATATATGAAGCAGAATTAATCATAATGACTAGACTATGACTATACTATATGTACTCCCTCTTACCCCTCCCCCGTATCCCCCAAATCTCCAAAAGGCCGGTATCACTAGTCTCGAAACCATGGAAACGACACGCATGATGATAAATTAAAAATTACGTGCAACTGCCATCTTGGATTAACATTTTGACAGCACCATTGGTTTTACAACCCCGAAAACAATGAACACGACACCCATGACGACAAATTAAAAGTTTTGTGCCGCCGCGATCTTGGATTTACATTTTGACAGCACCATCTGCCTAACGCTTGATGAAACTAAACCCATGATGAAAAGTTGAAGATTTCGATCTGCCTAATAAGTCCTGCCGTCATTTTTAACGGCGCCACCCCGCTCACCGCTAAGACCGCAGTCGTGTATCGTTAGATCGTATTCATCACTTTAGTTAATTTGATTATTATGTATAATGCCTGTCATTATGAATAACATCAAATAACCACTTAGGCTGTAACATCATTATTGCTAGCAAGTCTAGATGTAGGCATTTATCACGAAACTAAACTGGTAGCACTCATAACATAATAATAATCAAAATATAATCTATGTTTACTTTCAGGCAATGAACTGGCTCCTACGTTCAGCTACGCAGCCAACGTGCGTACATGACGTGATGTGGTGGTTCTGCAATGCGCTCGACAAGTTTGCACGCATTGTTCCACCGCCGAGTCTTGCTCTTGATGACAACAAGGAGGTATTTGTCCATATTCTTTAGTACCTTTAATGAGTGTCAGGGGTCAGTCAACTCAGGAGCTAGACGGACTCGACTACAAGTACATTTAGCCAAACGCCACGTTAGCGCTTGTCTACAGAGAGAGAGAGAGTAGAAAACTAAATGTATGGGGATGACACTGACAAGTGTCAAAATTAACGTTAATTCCATATAATTTGATTTTCTATTCTACAAGTAGACAAGCGCTAAATGGCATTTGGCTACAGCTGCAGATTACCTAAAGGAACCGTACATGTAAACGTCGCTCATATATCTAGTTAACTGGTCGTGCTATAGATCTCCGAGTGAATACTCTGTTTTTATCCGAATTCCAAACGTAGAATGTATCCAGTAATATCTTTAAGCTGGCTACAATTATAAAAAATTATTTAGCAGAATGCAGTAAATGAGAGTCCTCGAGGGGTAATCCCGACTGCCTCAGCGTCGGCTATCTGTCCCGGCGCCCGCGCAGCCCGAGGCGCACGCGCAGCGTTCCACGCGTTCCTCGGTTCAGTAAGCGCACTGGCGCCATCTCTGCCACCAGCCAGTGCTGCAGGACTACAAGCCGTTCGATGCTGGGCGTTGCACTATTCACCACACGATCGGGCATTCTTACATAGGTAACGTTGCTGATATATTGAGGTCCATACACAATACCGGTGACATAGTCATTCCACTGTCCTTCGTCTCTTCATATATTTTCATGCTTACTAGCTTGTACGATGTCAAAGTCAAGGTCAAAGTTTGGGATTAACTAGTGACCTCAAAAATTTCGGCTTCACAGTAGCTTCTCTGTAACATGTGCCGCCGGCATTGTGTATGCGACCTTTTATACTGTTCGTAGATCATGATAATAAAAATACAGCAAGTGTAGTCGTTCATCATTCAAATAAATCATTTTGTATTTCATACTAAAATAGAAGTAAGCAGCTTCTTACTAACCAATTTCAAAACATCTACCTTCTAATTATTATCTGTTATCCATTTTTGGATTAAAATATAACGATAAGAATTCTATTTTAGCATACCTTGTTTACTTTATCTGTATTTATCAATCTCTTGGTGCATCCATAAATTATTTATGTTTAAACTTTTTATTCTATCTTTACTCTCAAATATTATCTGTCTAATACATTGCGAAATGTTAACGCTGCTCGGATCAGATCACAAGTATTCAGTGTGATCAGCAAGATTCTGTCACACTCGGAGGACGGAGCCTATGAGGAGGGACTTCTTGGGGCTATACAGGAGAGCTTCCATAGCTACCTGAATAAGGTATTGTATCTAGTTGTAAGCATTTCAGGTTGGATGCGGTTTGACTTGATTGTCTACTTTGATATCGTTGGTTATGTTTGCGGTTGGTATAATTTTGAAGTAGTAAGATTGCAAAGTAGAGACTAACAATCTGATCACATGTATAAATTTAAATTAATTGAATACAAATGGGAGCTACTGTTTTTAAAACAGGAACGATGGAGTTTCTTGCTCGTTCTTCTACATTCAAAACTACACCTTGGCATGACCGCCTAGCTTCACTGACAGGTCGCGGAGAACCTAACGGGTAACCGGGGCTCCGGCTCGACGTGCAGGAGAAGGAACGGGGTGGTTTTTAGTCAGTAAGAGTCTGACACTCCCTCCCGCCTCACCCAGGCGGGGGCAGTCATTCGATGATTTTCCCCCCTTAAAAAAAAAAGCTTCACTGACAGGCAGATGGACGGACAATTCAATTTTTGACGTTTCAAAAGTGCCTAATTAACTCGTCGAGTACCGGTTTTATAGACACAATTAAAGAACAATAGGTCGCGGTCACCGGTGACCGCTTGGTGTTTGACAGTTTAAGGGTTAATTGAAAAATTGCTTTGACTATGACTTTGATCACCAGATGGCGCCAATGCATGGAGACGTATGTTTGTCCAATCACCGCAGCTGTCAAATATTGAACGTCCAATGGCGTAACACTAGGTACTTCCCTATTGGACGAAAAACAAGAGGTTCACACTAGTGCCATCTGGTGACCAAAAATATAGTAGCTCCCATTGGTTCGCCTTTTAAACAGATATATTTAAAACAGATCTTTTTCAATTATGAATTAGAATCTTTCCTGTGTTGTGTACCGGGTCTGGGTAGCATGTCAGATTAATCTTATCTCACTAATATTATAGGTTCGAAAGTTTGTAAGATTGTATATGTGTGAGTGTGTTGTTACATTTCCGCGACAAAATGGCTGAAGGGATCGAGATTAAATTTGGAACAGGGTTATTTTTTTTTAAGGGGGGAAAATCATCGAATGACTTCTCCCGCCTGGGTGAGGCGGAAGGGAGTGTCAGACTCTTACTGACTAAAAACCACCCCGTTCCTTCTCCTGCACGTCGAGTCGGAGCCCCGGTTACCCGTTAGGTTCTCCGCGACAGGGGTAGATTATGGTCTGAGGCCTTAGTACGAGTTTGTTTTACGTTTAAAGTAATCGTAACTAGTACTCGTTCGGCGCTCTGATTGGTTGGTTCATTGGCGCCAGCCAATCAGAGTGTCGAACGCGTACTCGTTACGAATACTTTAAACGTAAATGAAATTCTTACTAAGGCCTCTGTAGTCTGTCTGTAATAATACAATTTAAAATATATTATTAGGTACAGATTCCTCGGTAACTGATCGTAGTTTTAACACATACTCTCGTCCAAATAAGAAGTAATCACAAATACTAACAAAAAATGTCCCCGTTTCTAGGAGAATTACGTTTGGACTTGTCCTGACGTGACCGGTTGGTGTGACATCAGTGTTTCATCTCGCCAAGGAATGGCTGGTGCCCTCACCGACGGCAGTACGGAGACCTTCTGGGAGTCGGGAGATGAGGACAGGAATAAGGCCAAGTGGATCCAGATGACATACCCTGGTGGTACTCCTGATGATAGGCCGCATATCCTGTGCGTTCACCTTGACAATACCAGGGATACAGTGGTGAGTGCTGGGTATAGTTTTAGTATAATTGTTTTGCAATCGTATAACATCACGCCTTTTATCCCTGAAGGGGTAGGCAGAGGACATTACGGCACTTAATGCCACTGTATAATTTAACACCAACTTTTCACTATTTATGTTATGGGTTCCATGTAATAGGGGGTGAGCCTATTGATACTTTAAGCAATTGTTGTTGCAATTTATACTTTAAGAGTTAAATTAATTTAACAAGGATGTAAATACATGGATAGAGTCAGACGTAGAAACAAATATGGGGGTAGAGATAAGTAGAGACAAAAGATGAGGCACCAGTAGAAACAGAAGTGTAGTCAAAGATAAAGAGACCTAAAGATAAAAGTAGAGACAGTGGTAGAGACAGAATTAAGAGACCAGGTAGAGTTAGGGGTAGAGACAAAATAAATATAGCACGATAAACGGAAGTACACACAGGGTAGAGACAAGAGTACAATAGGGTAGAGTCAGGAGTAGAGACTGAGGTAAAGTTTGAAGAAAAGACAGCGGTTGATGCAGAAAAAGAAACTATTTAGAGCCATGTAGAGACATGGTAGAGTCAAACTAGAGACAAGGTGTAGTCAGAGTAGACTAAAGATATAAGTTAAAGCAGGGGTAAAATCAAAAGTAGAACAAATTAAAACAGACAGGTAAAGATGGAAGAAGAGACGGAAGTGGAGATAGAGGTATAGATAAGTAAAGAGCGATAGGGACAGAGGTTGAGAGCTAAAATGTCGAATAACTAATTTTGAATAAATTTACTTGAAACGTAAATCCAATGCTGCTGCTTTATCACCTCCTATTGTAACGTCTTCTCTTGTTTACTCCAGAACAAGACGTTGCTGGTATCCTTCTTGTACAGCGGCGGGTCCAGCGAGATGTTCCACATGCAAGATGTCGAGGTGGACCCTAAGACTGCCACCTGGCTTTGCTACACGATGCCAAGTAAGTCAAAATTGTACACAATTTATAGACAAACTGTGTTTGTACAGTCAAGGGTCAAAAGTCCACTGCCACACCGTGCCACTGTTCTCACGGCAATGCGTAAATAATTTCATATTAATGTACATAAAAACGCGTGCGTACGCATAAACACATGCACGCGTACGCACTCGGATAAAAATATGCGTGTGCATGTGTGTATAAGCGCTGCAGCGCAACCGATAGTAGTCTTATGGAGGCAGTCGACCTTTGACCTTTGACCATTCATGTTCAGTCTTGTAATTAAGTACTTTATCGTATATCACCTGTATTTTGTGCCACGAGGTTGTCAAAATGACAAATAATTATGCTACAGACATCAAAAATCGTGTTGTAGATTCATTTATCAGTCGTGGACAGGGAATTGGGTAGTTTCCTGGGTCAAAAATAAATTATTTTGATTTTTCAGTCCAATTAAATATTGAAAATAGTTACACTTTCATTCATTGATTTGCCGATATACAGACATATAAGTGTATTATTTGACGTGACGTCATAAGATGGTATTTCGTACAAAATTCATAGAATGGTTCGTTTTTGATTAAATCGTTTTTGACGTTTCGATAAAAGTATTGAATTTGACTAGTTGGCGACTACCGTATTATCAGTGATGCCGTCTAATAGTGACTCCATATCTGGCAAATCTGCGGCTCTTAACCATTTCACGTACTAATCTTGTGCATTTTTCATGTGAATTGCCGCTCAGACAATGTTCAGGAGATACTGCGGGCATATCCCCGCTACGTATGATTCTAGCGTATTGTTTTTGCTATAAATTTAAATGTCATTTGTAGGAGGCACGAGTACATCAGTTCGAGTCCGCTGTGAGCTACGCGGCCCTGAACCCGCCGTGCGAGTACGACAAGTTCGAGTACTAGGCGCGCCGACGATGCTAGCCTCAGCCGCCGCCACTCCTGCGCATGTTCTTCATGGACTCTCAGAAACTGATACTTTGAGAGTGTTCCGACTTCTGACATCACAGGTAAATTAATATATATTTTATTTTGTTAAAAAAGAAGAAGAAAATCCTAATGTAATGTTTTCTCCTGTATCGTGGGTGCGTTTACAAACATACAAGCTCACTTACACATGACACCCAGACCCGGAACAACAATCTGTGGATCACACACAGAGTTGTTCCGTCCGGGTATCGAACCCGCGACACGTTGCGTAGCAGTCAGTTGCCCAACCACCGCACCGACCGTGCAGTCAAAACAATTTTTGTTTGTTATGTACAATTGATGTTTTCGCTGTTGTGGTCATTAATATGACCAATATGCAATGTCTTTTCCAACTTTCCAACCAATTCATTGTCTTTCCGTCTGATTATGAATTTTTGTAGTATTATTTATTTTTATTTATTTATTTATACTATTATATTCTTCTAGGTGTTCGGAAAACTCCTTGAATGGGATCGGACTGGTAGCGACTCGGGCACTGAAGGGGCGGCCGCTGTGGAAGATGGAGCGGCAGCCGATGATAGTGACCTACGGGAACATGTAGTCGGCATACTGTTCGCAGGACATAAACTCACTTCATTACAGAGACAGGTTAGTTTACTTACGGATAAAGTTGTTTTTTGCAGGTTCTCTGGTGTGGTGGGCACAATTTCCCACATGCACACCTGATTGGTTACTTCATTGGAGCCGGCCAATCAGAGTGTCGAACGCGTACTCGTTTCGAATACTTTAAACGTAAAACAAACTCGTACTAAGTCCTAAGGGCTGACAACAAATTTAAATTCAGTGTATAATTTGTATACAAGTTTAGTCTGTGAGTAAAGAATATAATATTAAACGTCATTATACAACAGTAAACATGTTTCTAGCCCCTCTAGCTTTTGTAAGAAATTTAATTAGCCGCGAGGGTATATATTTTCGACATCCCTGATCTACACTATAGGTACAGCACATCTAGGTCTAAAACAATAATTTATAAGTGGATCACACTGTGTAAAAATCAAATCCCAAACTGTTAAACAGCAGTGGGTTGCCTACTGTCCACCCACTATCCTAACCTATCTCGCTATTTTCTTACTCTATGAAATATCCTTGATCGCGTCGGCACTGAATTTAAGTTAAATTAGGTGGAATACAATACAAATGAATTCACCATAAAAAACGAGCACCATGAATAAACTAAACATTCCGCCCGAATACTAGTGCCATCTCTGTCTTTAAAAAAGAATTCGTTGTGACATTACTATACATGAGCGCGACTCAAAGTTGAGTAGTCTTTCAGTATACAGGCGTTAGTCTCGTAAACTGTCTACAAAAGAGGCCACTGATAACCTTTAATTTTAAATTCCGCCAAAATATACTTCAATTTCACCAATAAACCGGTCTCTTTCAATAGCTTTCCGTGTGATTGACGTGGCCATTGTCCATATACTTAGGAACCAGTATTTGCATTGTATAATATGGCAGATGGAAATTAGACTAGGGGGAATCGATTTGACCCTATAATGTATTCAACCAGACTTATTTATACTTGAAAGAGCCAAATTTATTTGTGCCAAATTAGTTCTATCTGCGCACGCGCACGGTTCAGTCTGTTGTACTGATAATTGTAGCGTGTCTGTGTATTTTTTGTGTTAAATTTCGGGAAACGTGCTCTTTTTGTTGAAAACAGATTTAAACGAATTTGTCGAGCAAGTGAACAAGTTTGTTTTGACATCAACATCCCGTGGGCATCTATAGTTTGTCCGCATGGCATGCGGAATGGAGATACCAGTTTTAAAGGTTAAATATTTTCAAGGAGCTCATCTTCCCGGGCTCTGAAAAGTGTCTTAAGTTTGACTGAACACTAAAAATTACTTTCAGGAATATTTTTGAAAACGTGTTAAAATTAAACTCCGATGTGTTTGTGGTATTACCTTATAAGAGAACTTGCGACGTTTGCGCCGTTTCATGATCACACGCACAAAAAGCCATTTCCATTCTCTTTACGTGGTATCCATAGCACCATCTCTTGGCATATAGTGCTAAAACTTTTCTTGTTTTTTTTTATACGAGTACCATTTGAGTTAAGCGGCATCTCGCGGCAAATATTTTTGAGCTTGGTTCAGCGATTTATATTTGGTTTTACGCCATCTCGTGGCAAATAAATCAAACTTATTTATGCTTGCGACAGTGTCGCCACAGTCTCCAGTTTTTTACAAAGCGCAAAGAAGTTAAGTTTATAGTGAGACACGAAAATAAAATGAAACTGTCCTACAGTTGGTTATTATCTATTGTTACAGGTAATGACACACATAGTGTCAGCTATAGGCTGCGAGGCGGCACGAGTGCGAGATGATTGGGAGACGGCATTGCTCTGCGCTGAGGCAGCCGAGCGAACATCTGAGGAACAACATGCAAGACCACCAGCTCACCAGCAGGACAACTACTGCTTCGAAATGCTCTCTCTGGTAAGGATACCGCGCAATACAATCACTATCACAGCTTTAACACCGTCATATTTTGTTACAAAACACTATTTAACTTATGTTTAACATTTCAACCCCTTTATAGATTTTAGGTACCCGACGTTTTGCCATCAATCATGCATCATTCCAGGCTTCTCGTCGTTACTGAGAGTTTCGAAAATTGAGACTAAACTGCTATTTTCGACTTTCTCAGTAACGACGCGGAGTCTATGCTCTACCCACGCCCCGGGAGCTGGAGATTCGCTCGGCAGCCGTAACATCTTTTTTTTATTTTTACATTATAATATGCTTTAGCCTTGTCATGTATTATTTGATATAGAACTTTATCATTAAAATGTTTAGAATTAGTAAGAACAAAGGTTTTCCCTTGAAGGAGACGAATGGATATACAATTACAAATATGAAATGTAACACTCAATTTGTTTATGCCTGTTATGCTCGACTGGAGTTATACCACGGCTTTACAGAAAACGGACGTGAAACAACGCTTGCTTTGTGTCTCCCCCCCTCTCAATCTCCCCAATCCCTGAATCCCCAACAATCATCAAATTCGTAATCCGTAAATGGCTGGTAATGGACTTGTAACAGGAGTTTCGGGTGTCCATGGGCGACGCCGATTGTTTACCATCAGGTGATCCGTCAGCTCGTTTACCGGCTTATCTCACCAAAAGAAAAAAATGCTATGATGCAATTAGCCTCAAACTTATTCCAATTTCAACCACTATCTCTATTCCTGGTCGTTATTTTAGGTTGCAATCCAAATCCTTCACCCTCTTCCAATGTATATGTTTGACTAATGACATCATAAAATTGTTTTAGCTGTTAGCACTCAGTGGCAGTGCCGTAGGACGAGCGCACTTGGCACAACGCACTGAGTTACTGGCAGATTTACTGGCACTCTTACACACAGGCAGTGAACGAGTACAACGACAGGTCAGTAATAGCTGGTATTTGTAGTTGCACTAACTTATCCCGCGTTTTGAGTACCTAATTAAAAGAAAGTAGGTTAAAATGTTCTTCCTTATTAAACCTAATAAAACCTAACAAAAACAGTAAAACGCTATAAATTTATTGAATAGGTCATACATTGGCGTAACCTCCCTATATGACAGACGTGCGCATACGCACCAAACATAACTCCATCGGTCATCTGTTGTATTATGAGTATGAGTCTCATGTGTGTAGGTCTTAGGCCCCGGTAACCGCTTACCATCAGGTGGGCCGTGTGCTTTTTTGCCACCGTCGTGGTATAAAAAAAAGTCTTCGTGGTGAGCTCATTGCCACACAACAAGCATATTTCCGACTCTGTGCTTTTATTACTGACATCTTATCGAAAACAAAAACAATCATACTTTGCCTAGACCGGTAATCGAACTCGGAACCTCTTATTCCGCAGTTATGTTTTAATATTTCACGAATGAAGCAATACTAGATCATTAAATACAGCGACTTTATCTCATAAAAACTTATTATTTCCTTTACAGGTCATATCACTGCTCAGGCGCATGATTACAGAAATTCCACCGCAGAAAATGTTAGCCGCTGTCAATTACGGCAATGAAATGAACTCAAGGTAATCCTTTTTTATAATACTTTTTGTCAAAAGTTGCTTTATCGACAGATTTTCGTTTGGGATCAGTTATTAATTTCGGCTCTGATGGATTACACATAATGACAGTTTTGGAAATTGGATGACGTACCACACACACCTAAATTGACTATATTTTCAGGGTAACCCTCTTAGATCATCTGGTATGCTACTTGGGCAAGGCGATCACAGTCCAAGTGAAGGTCAAGGGTACCAGCGGTGCCACTCCAGCTTCAGTAATGATGGGCAGCAGTGTGGGACAGGCTTCCCCTGCCACCTGGTTCATGAGAGGCGAGACCACCAAGAAACATGCGCATCTAGTCGCTAAACTACTCTCTGATATGGCTGAGGTAAGTTGTAAAAACTAGATAAAGCCTTTAGTTCTTGCGTGCTTGATTGTGGCAAGTTTTTGTCATGGCTATCATTTTCGTTGTTTTCAAGGGTGATAAACACAAAACAGCACGTCAAACGCACGAAATTTGAATCATCTTTTTTTCCTCGTGGAATTATCGTTACTATCCCTCAAAAATCGTCTTTGATTTACTTTTTGACAGTAACTCCATCGGTTGTATCACCATCAGTATCCATGGAAACGATACTCATGACGAAAATAAATTTCGTATTTTTGCCTTCTTGGCTTTATAATGTATCTTTTTCCAGGATAAAGTGTCACCAGCTTGGGGTTTGGATACTCGTAACGCTCTAGCTACGTATGTATCGCAAGTGGCTCAGCTCTCTGAAGCTGATCGAAGACCCACGCGATGCATTGCGGCGCCCACAGTGTGGGTCGCTTTGGCTGCCCTGTGCGTGTGTGAGCAGTCTCATGTCGAAATGTGAGTGTTATTGTATTTTTTATCAAAAGGCAAAGGAACACCTCTTGCAGGAGCCTTTACGCTGCGATCGTGTGGTCCATGGCATTTTATGGTGCATCAGTGTGTGTCGTTAACGCGACGGCCATAGTGTAAGCTGTGACCTACTTAACCCACGCTTGCATAAGGCCACGCGGTGTCCAGCTTTTCAAAATATTTTGCGCTTGGTATTTAAAAATGATATAAATGGGATCTACAAATCACCTTCAATTGCAGGATTAACAGCTCTGGTGACGGGCGAGAGTCTCGTCGCGGTGAGTCTGACGGGCGACCATTATGCTCGAACCACGACGATGGGAGTACCGCCGCCGTCATCGACTGCCGAACTTGCGGCCCGCTCTGCGCTGAGTGCGACCGCTTCTTGCATCTTAATAGGGCAGCCAGAACACACCACCGACAGGTCATTTCATTTTTAATATTTGTACCAAGAAAACTCACAGATCTTCGTTATTACACTATGTAACACACCACAATTAAATACTACAAACTATTATTATTTATGTCACAGGCTGATTGTATTCGATGTTACGGCTAGAATACGGGTAGTATTACGGCTAGAAGTTTAGAACAACTGTTTATATGATTAGCCGGATAAGCCGGATTGTCATTGCAAAACGTTCTACATTATGGCGCATTTTCGTTATTCTGCCATGGAGGGTGGCCATGGTCATATGGCATGTACTATTAAAATGAAATGTTAACTTTCGTCATGGGTGTCATTTTCGTGGTTCAAATTATTGACCATGACAGTTACGATGAAAAAATACTTTAATTCCAACGATACCAGTTACATAGCTCGAAAATGTTTATACTTCATGCTTCATTTAATTTTATTACTTTTCAGAAAATTATTGTACCGATTCGGTCGACAGGGACCCGCTGCGCGGGGCTTCTATTTATAAGCAATCTAAGTAACATTGTAAAAAAGAATTCAAAATAACCACAAATATCTTTACAGATATGCAAAGAGGAAGAGAGTGCTATTCGCATAGACATCCATGAAGGTTGCGGTCGAGCGAAGCTATTCTGGCTACTTCTATTGGTCGATCGGCGAACTTTCAAAGGGTTAGCGGAGTTTAGAGGAATGGAGAGTGGAGTTTGCGACAATGCCGCAGGGGAGGGCACTGCGATACTACCCGGACCGCCTGGTCTCGCTGGCACTTGCCGCTTCTGTGGCACCAGAGGCAATTCTGGACTACTGGCTATTGGCAACGTTTGTGCTGACCAACAATGCCAGGTACTTATCAGTTTTTGTGTAAAATTTGTAGTTGTTTATAGATTTATTTAGCACTTTGATAGTAAGACCGGCTATTGGCAACGTTATTCCTACTAACAGCTATTCCGGATGTAATATTAATGTTTACTAATGCTATCTCCTCTTAAGACTTCCGTGAGCTCTTTTACACGATTATACTCCCTTCTAAACTGCTACCTGGTCGCATTGTCGGTCATATAAGTGTATTTATGTATATTTAAGTGTATTTATGTATATTTTTATAGTATTAGCAAATTCGTATATTTGATTTCTTCCAGGATCACGGCAAGGAAGCATGCAGTCGTGTATTACCCTGTAACCACTTGTGCGGCGGTGTCCGTTCAGAACGGACATGTTTGCCGTGCCTATTTGGTTGCGCAGGCGCTCCTGATGCAGTGCCATTACGGCAGGATGCGGATGACATGTGCATGATCTGCTTTACTGACCCTCTACAAGCTGCCCCCGCTATACAGGTAAGGATAATAATTTCGAATATTTTTTTGTCAGTTAAGTCGGTTTTCTGGGTTAAATTACGGGACAGAGATTTACGTTCAGATTGTGCTACAAATAATGGTTATGGTTAGGTTGGCGCGCTTTCGTAAATATAGCTTTATTTTAATGCTAAAAAGTGGTCTAGTGTTTAGTTTATAACTGTCGCACAGTTTTTCAATATTGTTGACTGTAATAGCCCATTTTTAATCGCGAAATTAACAGCGTTGCGCGTGCGCCTTAATGAAAAGTCGATTGACATATGTAGAAAAAGTAAAGACAAATAACTTGCTATATCCTAGAAAAATAAAACAAGAAAATATTTAATTTGACTTACAAGAAACATCCACATAAGGAGTTACACAATACATAAAATATCTAATATTACATGGCATTGGCAGTATCAGTGACGTATATATTTTATTGCTTTTAATGCTATTTTATGACTGCTACCGTTGTATTGAAATCTCGGTTCTATAAAATTTGTTGTATGATAATCGTTTCAAAAGTTAAACAGCTCAGTGGCGATAACTTTACAATAACTTAGCGACTGGAAGTATCATCATGATACTTGTACTGTTAGTGCTATTTATACCGGAGCAAGTGCTGTCTGACTTACGGCTGTTAGGAGGCAAGGATGTCAATGATACTGATTACCGATTCGTGGTCAGACTAGAGGCCATAGCGACGTCTAAGCGGAAGCACCATAGAAGCATGGTGCAGGACATACATGTCTGTACCGGCGTCGTTCTGTCCCAGTACTGGACACTGACTGCTGCACATTGTGTTGTGGAGTTAGAAGATCTCACACAAAAAACCAACAGAGTTCTAAGAAAAGCCGTAGTCCGGGTTAATTCCAACACAGGTACAAGACAAGGGCCAGAGGGACAACCAGAAGACATTGCACCGGTACCTGAAGAGACACCAGAACCTAAACAAGAATCAGTTACAGAACTAACACCAGCAACAGAACCAACGACAGTAACAACACACACAACTACACGAACACCGTTCTACACGACAACGCAACGTCCTAAATCCGTGACCACGACATACGCCATTGTGGCTATGTACAAACATTCAGGGTACCGGGACGTATCTGTTAATGAGAACATTCACGTGAAAAACGACATCGCCATGTTGCAAACTGATCAGATCACGCTCCAAGAGTACGGCAAGGTTGGCAGCGGAGACTTCACTTCTTTGATAGGATATGAATCGAAAATTCTCGGTTATGGTCTAAGGCAACCCGATGGGGACACCAGTAAGGCGTCCAGATTGTTGCAATTATTGCACGTGTTGGTCGTCGAATGCCCTCCAGACAACGAGATGTACCCGGTCATATGTGTGGCGGCGCATTGCAAGACCGAGCGAGCCATGCTCTGCAAGGGGGATGCTGGAGGGCCGCTCATATCCTTCTTTGGTGTTATTGGGCTCATCGGGAAGAATACCAACGTACATTGTATCCAAACTACTATCACGTCCTCCACGACTGTTGGACATCTGTTGCCGTTAAGTCCGTACCTCACTTGGATAACTAGTCATATACTTAATACCGAACCAGTCGCGCTGTGATAGCCAAATGCCTTTTACAAGTGTGCCTACTTAGAGAGTAGAAAGGGAATGACACTGACAAGTGTCAAAATTGCCATCAATCCCATATAATTTGGATTTGTACTTTCTCTGTAGACAAGTGCTAAATGGCATTTGTCTCATAGCACAATATTTGCGAACGAAAAATGAGTAGTAAAATGAGACCCACTATAAAGGAAAGAGAATATGCAAGACAATTAAAATATAAATATAGAAAAATTTACTACGGGCGGACTGAGGTCGAGAAAAGGATGGGTGTGGCTAGAATGTAAAAAAATGTTAAAAAATATGGAATATATACATAAACCGAATTTTGGTCTTCTAACGCACACCCATCGTAATTTGTTTTTTTACATATTTTTCAGCATAAGATTCTCTTTCCTTTGCAACGGATTTTATTCTACTACTAGTTTCTTATATGATTGCCCATTTTTGCAGCTGAACTGGGCACCTGCCGCACGAAAATAAATTATTGTCATTTGTCTTTATAAGTTTTATAATAAATATTTTTTCACATTACCGTGTTTTATTCATGTTCATCTATCAGTAATAACCGTTTACTAATCACCACTTAACCATAACATAACATCACGCCTTTTTATCCCCGAAGGGGTAGGCAGAGGTGCACATTTCGGCACTTAATGCCACTGTACAATGTAACACCTACTTTTCACTATTTATGTTATGAGTCCCATGTAATAGGTGGTGAGCCTATTGCCATATACCGGGCACAATTTTCCAGACTCCGTGCTACTACTGAGATTTTTAAAACCCAGTAATACTTTGCCCGACCCGGGAATCGAACCCGAGACCCCTTGCCCGGCAGTCGCACTTGCGACCACTCGGCCAATGAGGCAGTCTACTCACATAATGACGCAGTCCACTTAACCATATTTTACCTAAAAGCTACTTAGCGTGATGTAACGCCTAAACTAACTACTTACATGTACTGTTAGGTGTCACTTATAGATTGGTGAAACCCAAAATGACGTTAAATTTCGTAGCTTTGGGTTTCCATAATATTTAGAAGAGAGGAGAGGTTGGTGAAAGAGGGATCAATCAATGCTGATTGCTTCTAGTAACAAAAATCATATTTTTTAAGCAAAGGTATACAAGAGACGTTTTCTTTTATTTATAGTTAAAGTGCGGCCACGTTTTCCACCTTCATTGCTGCAGAAAGGTCCTGGCCAATAAATGGATAGGCCCCAGGATCACATTCTCATTCTCACAATGCCCAATTTGCAAGGTAAGTGAATTTTTATAGCCGTACGCATGTTGATAGATGATGACAATCAATGAGTGTTACCGTTTTTTGGTCACTAGATGGCGTAAATCCAAGTTTTTTTTTGTCCAACCAGTGCAGCTGTAAAATATTGAACGTCCAATGGTGTGACACTAACTAGTTCCCTATTGGACGAAAAACTAGAGGTTGACATTAGCGACATCTCGTGAGCAAAAATACCCCCATTAAGTCAGCGTGACTTGGCTAGCTGTCATGTTGACGTTGTCAACTGTCAAATGTGATACATAGAGTTTTTCCCAGGTTCGATTGTGTAATCGTCAGTTTATTAGTTTGAGGACAAACTAACATATTTTCGTATTTGTTGTAGTAGTACAGTATGGATATTTTCTATAAGTATAAATAGTATAGATATACGATCTGGCGAAACTATATGCGGCAGACCGAATTTTATTCAATAAGCTATTTAGATATAGTATTTATAATATAGTATACTGAGACTTTAAATGCTAATTATATAGTAAGCTTCTTCTTACCTTAGTATTGCGAACAAAACCATTAACAGAGGCTAGTATAACTATAAAACTTTTTAAATTGAAAATTTCATTAAAATTAGTCAAATAATGCCTAAGTATCTTGAAAATGTAAATAGGCTTGATTTTCGCTACGAAAAAGGTTTAAAATGCTTAACTTACAAAGCAGAAAGAATAAAATTTCTTTAAAAAACCATAGTTTTTGATGAACAACCTATTTTTTTTTTTTTAATATTATGGACTATTTCTCCACGGACTCTAGGTCCGTGCCCTTGTCATACAGTTTTTTAATTATAATACATCTAGTCAATTTTTTTAGAACAACCTATTTATTCACCATTGTAGGAGGACATGAATCACTGGACCCTAGAAGAGCTCCTGACCCCCATCAGACAGCTTTACGATGAAGTAAAGCGCAAAGCTCTGATGCGCCTTGAGTACGAGGGCTGTGCGCTCCCTGGACAGGCCAAAGGCAAGGTCCTGCCCGACCCAGCCACTTACGCCATGGAGAGATATGCGTATTACGTGTGTCATAAGTGTGGCAAGGTAAATCCGAAAGCATTGTATAATAACACATACTAAATTAATAAAAATAACGGCTTACTCAGGTAAATTATTCTAGAAAACCTCTTCTAGACTTTAGTCATCAAGTCGCAACTCTCAGGTTGGCTGCGCAGTGTCGCAGCTACGCGCACGCTACACATGAATTAGAGTCCCGATGTGACATGAAACTTGTAGAGCTTTTCTCGAATAATTCACGTAAGTAAGCCGTTTCTTCTTTATACAATTTTAATGTTAATATTTTTTTATGCAGGCTTATTTCGGTGGTCTGGCTCGCTGCGAGGCTGAAACTAGTGGCTGGTGGGAACCGAACGAGCTGGTCTGCGGAGCGTGCAGTGACGTCGCTGGAGCCAGGACCTGCCCTAAACATGGCGCCGACTTCCTCGAGTACAAGTGTCGATACTGCTGTTCTGTGAGTAACATTACAGTAAAATCTTGCTCTTTATTTTATGAACTTATTCAGTAAACGTGCAGACGGATCACCTGATGGTAAATAATTGATGCTGATCATGGCAACACCAGAGCTCATTCACATGGCGATACACAACGCAAATGTTATGTGAGGCCATGTTATTATTCCCATTGAGGTGACCAAACTTCTTAACAATGAAATTATAAATATAAAATATTTTGTCATTTCTATCCAATCTCTGGGGCTCATGTTCTCTAGTGCTGTTCATTCCTTTACGGTCTTAATATCTATGAACGTGTATTACAGGTCGCTGTGTTCTTCTGTTTTGGCACGTCACATTTCTGCAACGCGTGTCACGATGATTTCCAGCGTGTCACCAGCATTCCCAAGCATCTGCTGCCGCAATGTCCTGCTGGTAAGTATAAAATGATGTCGAAATTAAGGAAAATTGCTTCAAATCTCAAAAGTATCATATAATGGGAGTAGTCTAATCTGGCTAGATCTTTGCTAATAACGACTGAATTCTCGGTTTTGTGGGCTGTTATGTTTCCTAACTAGTGTCATAAAGTAAATTAAAAGAATTTCTGAAATCATGAAAAACAGGCGTTAAAATTTTTATCTCTTTAAAACTTCACAGATTGAAAAATACTATTAAAAAGTGAAGTTGTTGATGATGATGCAACGGAAGCCAAAATTACAAAAAAATACATTTTTTTTGTATGCGCAAGCGCATCATCCAAAAAACTGCATGCGTTCTGTTATTCTATTATGTCCTTATTTTATATCTACCGATTTAAGGATAGATGCTTTTTAAATTATAGTTTATGAAATTATTATCGAATAAAGACAGAAACTGAATATTGGTGTTGTTGTAGGTCCTAAAGGCGAGCAACTACCAGGCTCATCAGACGAGTGCCCTTTGCACGTGCAACATCCCCCGACCGGAGAGGAGTTCGCACTCGGCTGCGGCGTTTGTAGGCATGCTCAAGGTTTCTGAACAAGGGAGTGTGCCATTGGCGAACATAGGGTACCAGGAACCATTCGCCTTGGCCAATAAACATTTTAACACACGTGTCGACTCTACAACAATCTAAAAATTCTGGTGAAACATCTAACGTGTGTCGAGTGTAAAGAAATTCCACTAAGTTATATCAACATTGAAGACTCTTGAACTTCCCGGAAATACAGACTTGTGCGTTTACGTTAAGTTTTATTACAGTGTTACGACATCACCGGTAAAATACAATGTTTTAACATAACTCACGGAATAAGACCAAAGTAAATAAAATACGGCATTACGTTATAATCTACTTGATAGATCACTAGGCATTGAGGACTTTGCCATTAATTGTGACAGTTTATTAATTACATCAATGTTGCGCAAATTTGCGCATGAGTTGCGCACGATACTTACATGACAATACGCATATAAATGAGACGCTTACCGAATAGGACGGACAAATGTGAATGAAATGATACAACTGAATTGATCCACTTGTAAAGTAACTGGATAATGCATTGGTAATAACGAAAAATAATATGTTGTACAATAATTACTCAAGTTATAATTTTAATATTTAATTGTTATTATATCCCATTATATTCAATGGTCCTACTCCATCGTCTCAGTGTTGTCTGCCGTAAAGAATATGTGTAATTTTATCTCTGGTTATGTGTCAATAATAAACTTTAAAATAATAAGAATAAAGTTCAGATTTTAATGAATGTTTTCTATAAAAGTTAGCTCAATAGTTGATTGTCGTGTTTGACGAATATCTACATGTCCGATACGTTGTTGTGAATTACAGTGTGTTGCCGTACTTCCCCCTACACTAGTCCATATCTTTAGGATGTCTATCTATCCTTAGACTGACGTACTGCAAGTCAGTATTCTGGCTGTTGTAAGTAGATAAACTTAGTTTAAGACCGTGATGCTGTATAATATTTTATGCAGTTTTATTACAAACTCGTTTGCCTCGGTCCAAATGTTGAAGAATACTCGCTTCGGGAATGCTTGAAATAATTTGCGTGATATTTTATATGAAATAAGGAATTTATTTATACTAAGCTTGTTTCTAATTATGGGTTTTAAGATGTATGTATAATATTGTGATAGAGTTTTATATGCTCCTCCCACTGCTTGCATGGATGCCCACTGTTATCCTAAGGCACGCGGGTGCATGCGTACCGCGGACGGTCTAAGTCATGATCCTATATAGTATAGTATGTTGTGGATGCTAATATTTTCTTTGTTAATAGTTAATTTATTGAAAACTGCGCTTTATACTCAAATATATTCTATATTAATTTAATCATTATTGCATACATTGATGTCGTAGGAATAGCAGAGTTCTATTGTTGTTGTACAAATAATCGAATTGCTAATATTAAGGTGGAGTGCCGAGTGGAGTTTATTATGTAACTTGAACCTGTCAATAAATCAATAATAATGGTCGTTCGCCATATTGAATTACATAACATCGTCGCATGCGCATGTAAGCAATCAAAGTTTAAATAATATAATGTAAGTGCTTTTTAAACGCCACTCGGCACATTCTTTACAAAGATAAAGTTACATGGATGTTAGTATATTGTGTACTCTCCTCAGTATTGGGATATAATTTTGCGGGCTTACACTGGTACATACAATACAAGTCTAAAATCACACTCTCAGTTCTTCAGTTTGGAGCGAATTGGTTAATTGTTGTAACGAAAATATTTTTAGTATAAGACTGCATTTGAAGACTTGATAGTGGAATTTCGAACGATGATGATAAAAATGTTTATTGGGGACGAATTTGTAAAGTACATGGTGTTCAATATTTTGAAGGATTGAGGCAAAGGTCGATGTCAGGACAATATCTCTAACACGTCGCTCGGGGCACAAAGTTCCAGCCCAAAAGTATTTTAAATACTGCGGAAATATAAAAGCGAATAGAGAACTTGATAAAGAGCATGATATTATTATTGTATTATCAACCTTAGTCAAATAATCGTAAGAATATAATTTAAATGAAACTATTTATTATTTACTAGATAGATACTATCGAATCTCTTTTTGATGATGAGTTTACAATGTTATATCGTACTTAATTAATTTAATTTTAACGACTTATTTAGGTAAAACGTTTTAAAATAGCCTTTTTTTAGTTCAAATTTGTAATCATTTATGTTTATTTGAAAATGTGAACGTCATTGTGATATGTTAACAGTGGCTTTAGTACGAGTTTCTTTTTCGTAACGAGTACGCGTTCGGCGCTGCGATTGGCCGGCTCTAATGAACCAACCAATCAGAGGGCCGAGCACGAATAACTATCGCATTCGTATCGTAACAGTAAGCGAGCGAGCGAGTTAAGCGTTCTGATTGGTTGGTTCACTTGAGCCGGCCAATCGGACGCGCTCGATACTATTACGTTACGAATGCGTTACTGAGCACAGAACGCCGTCTCGTTTCGATAACTTTAAACGAAAAAGAAATTCGTACTAAGGCCTCTGATGACACGCAGTCAACGAATAAAATAAAGGGATATGAATGTCAACAAGTGAGTCTTAAAGTGTTACACGAACCAGGGAGGGCTCCTGTCTGTTGTCTTTTCTATCATTGGTGCAAACTTCTATTTCCTCCCATGACGATTCTCCATCCCGCATTTTCATACAATTAGTTTCACTTGAATAGTCATTGACATCATCATATGAAAATATTGATGTATAATTATAATTGTACTTTAATTGGCAGTATACACAAGAAAATAATATTATGTGTTATCAATAATTGCACGTTAGATCCAACTTTTCATGTAGTTAATGAATTTAGTGTTGATAAGATGATTATTTTACAATAAAGCTTAAAACCCAGGTCTTGTGTTTTAATTACTATCATACTAGTCATTATATCTCAAAGAAAATCATTGAATATAGAGCCAGATGCTCTCCGTATAATCATTGATTTTCATAAAATACTAAAGTTCTCTCCGGTGGTGGGACTATGTTTTGACCCCGCGAGTTCGTATTTGCCAGGCTTTTGCATTTTTTTTGTGACAAATATAGACAGCGTCCATTCGTCGTTGATTATGTGAAGTGCGCCATCTAATGGTATTTACAAAAACGCATTTTTGGTAAAACTGTCTTCGCAATGTTCTATTTTTTAATGTGGCAATAGATGCCGCTACTGCATCAACTATATTTCTATGTTTTAACAGATGTTGCTACACATTTGTAAGTTTGCTAATATACTCTTTAGTCGTTTTCTTTCATACAAACCTTTTAGGATAATAATGAAAACTAAAATTAAACATGTTAGGCAATTGCTCCAAAGTAATGCACTACGGAAATCACACTTATTCGTACTTTGAGTATTTTTATTTCGAAACTATTTTATTTGCAAAAATATAAAATACTACATTTTTACGACACAGTGGATATTTATATCACAATAAAATCAAGGAAATAACATGTGTACGTGATGGCCGATGTCAGTTATTAATGTTATTTTTGAAACACTTCACAGCCTACGAATGAATTCACTGCGAGATATTATCAATCATACCGGGACCTGGTCGTCTCGTTTTATATTATCATTAATCCATTTCATATGTGGCTTCGTTAGGGTAATGATTTCGCCCATACCAATCGATTGAGTTTGGTTTAGTTCAGAGCAACCCTTGATATATTCCAGACTAGTGGTGCTGATGCCCATTACTCCTGTGAAGTGCAGTAATGGCCCGCCAGAGTCTCCGTCACATGTAGTTGAAGTTGGCAAGCAATATACCGGTGTACACTTCATCGGATGTCCCGATACAATCTGGTTGTCATGCGGCATCACAACTAATTTCAGTAGCTGTAACTGTGACGCCTTATACACTTTGCCTATTTCTGTTCTTACTGACTTTCTGACAGCTCTATATCCAGCTAGAGTAATCGCCCGGTTTCCTACACCAATCATATCTACTTCACTTAGCTTTGCGAATTGATTCAGTCCAATTAGTTGTGTTCTCACCAACCCAATGTTACTTTGTACTTTCGGTTCAGGGTCATAGAAGCTTGGGTGGTGGATAACTGACATCACTTTTGCCAATTTACTACCCCTAGCGCCGTATCGTACGACTGGTTGGACGGCTAGGTTATTGGTGAGGTTTTTAATGAATCCTACACTTTTGAGGCAGTGGCCGGCAGTTAGCAACAATGAGCGGCTGAGAGCGGTGCACGTGCAGATATGCACGTTGTTTTCAGCCAACACTTTATTATTAAATGTTATTAATATTCTTCTTTCCAATCTTACAATGTACGGATACTCATCTTCTTTAGCGATAACACTATTGATAATTTTTACACCTGACCGCCCGCAATTAACTTGCAGTAATATGTAAGAGAATAATATGTACACGGCACTATACATTTCGCCGGAAGACTCACGGATTTGTTGATATTGGGGAACATTTACGACCGTGTTATAAAAGTGTGCTGTAGAAATAAATTTGAATCTTAGAAAATATTGGAACAAAACATACAGTACGTTGACATAAATTTCATAAATGAAAATGTTACGGTGTAACTATGTATCAATCAGTAATTTCAAAACAATGCATTATTGCGATTTATATGTATAACTTGTATTATTATTTTCTATGGTAGGAGTGCACATAGCGCAATCAGGGCTACGTATTATAGGAGATAGAGAGGCTTTAGCAAATGAGCTGCGGTATGTAGTAAACACAGAGGTGGTGCCCACGAACGTAAGTGCAGTCAGACAGCTTGGAGATAACCACACAGTGCTGTCTTCCACCTGGACTCTGCCCGCTGCGAACTGCATCCAGTTCCTGGAGAGGTATAGCATGAATCATCCTAGTATCAAGTACAAGAACATTGTGGGAGTGAAAGGTCTTAGTGACCGGCAGCCTGGAGGAAGCGACATAGAATGTATGGATAGTGACAAACCCCCACTAGTTCATGTAGTGAAAGAATCTTTGGAATATTAAGTCTTTTTGGAGGGCAAGTAGGTATTCATTAAGAATGACATCTGCTTGCTGAACACCGAGGTGATATCGCTTCAGCAGTATGCGAAGTTAAGTGCAGTGGTCTTCATGGAGGTCAGGAACGTGTTGAATTTGATTGTGGTGGGATGTCCAAGCCACTTGTACCCGCCAATGTGTATAGCGCAGCGCTTGCAGCCGGCACTGTACCCTGTGCGTAGGGGACTCGGCAGGACCGCATAGGTTCAGATATCATCGGCATCCTCAGCAGCCTCATAAGCGAAATTGTATGGTGGAAGAAAGAGAGCGGACCCACATCAGTGGCGTGTTGACGACCGTCAGTCAGTCCGTACATTACTTGGATATTTAGTCATGTTATTAGTGCTCCCTGACAATTCATTAATCGCGATTTTATATTATTTTATGGATAAATAAAATTTAAACTTTTTTGTTGTGAGTTATTTCTTGATATATGTAATATGCTTGTAGTTACAGAAAGTAGAAGTTTAGGTACTTCGTCGTCCACAGCAGTTCTCAGCATCCAGAAACATGGGAAGAGCGAAGGAAGGGAACTGAAGGGAGACCTTTGTTCTCGAGTTGGGAAACCACTTAGAATAATAATAAATGTATCAGCCTCTACTGTCACTTGTTCATTCATTTAGAGTCATGTAGCGAGCTACAGAGTGGCCTGATGATGACAACAGCGACTTACCTACGCCTCAATAGTATATCACCCTCTTTTGCATGCGATTGTTTATCCTTTTTATAGAATGGATTTGCAAACGAATAAACAGATCACCTGATGGTAAGCAATCGGCGGTCTTAGATAAGGGCGTAGGCTCTTTGGAGATTTGGGGATTGAGCCTGCGGTAACATCGCTCATTTGGCGTTGTCCAACATGTAGCGTTACCGCGTAGCGTATGTCATGTGGTTTTTAGTGAGGCCGTGCCAGGCACCATTCCAGACGTGCCTGGTAGAGATGGTCCATTCATAATCATTATGGAAAATAGGCGTAAGTAGTTCCTAAATATATTGAGTACCTAGGCACCACCAGTGTGTAGCAGTACCTACAATTGTGATAGTAATGTTAGAGGATCACTTGCGCCAGGAAGTTGCAGTCCGATATTAAGTACCTAATGCAGTGTGACATTGATAAGGCATATAACCTAATGCTGCAGATAAGAAAGTATTTTTTTTTAATATGAAAAAAATAACGGTAAACGAGCTGACGGATCACCTGATGGTAAGCAATCGGCGCCGCCCATGGACACCCGAAACACCAAGGCGTTACAAGTGCGTTACCGGCCTTTTGGGAATTGGGAATTTGAGGACTGTGGAGGATTCGGGGTTTCGGGAGACTAGGGAGGGGGTAATTGGGCCTCCGGTAACCTCACTCACACGACGAAACACAATGCAAGCGTTGTTCCACGTCGGTTTTCTGTGAGGCTCAATCTGGTCGAGCCGGCCCATTCGTGCCGAAGCATGGCTCTCCCACACTTAATTAAATTTCTACCATCATCGTGTCCTTTAATACAAATCTTTGAAGAAGGACGCGGTTTACGTAAGATGAGGCAATAGCACTCCACTTAATTCAAATTAATAGTTATAATAAAGGTGAAATAATTGTTATGATGGTTTTCGGCGACTGTCGCGCTGTTGCTCGCTGCGTCACGGGTCGCGGTATGCTGCTCGTGAATATGAGCCTCCATCATGGCTTGAAACTACTTGAGTTCCTCGTCAAACAGTTACGTGAGTAAGCCGAAAATATAATGATTAATTTAATATGTCTCATGAAAGTTTTAATCTATACTAATATTATAAAGCTGAAGAGTTTGATTTTTTGTTTGTTTGTTTGAACGCGCTAATCTCCGAAACTACTGGTCCGATGTGAAGAATTCTTTCTGTGTTGGATAGTCCATTTATCGAGGAAGGCTTATAGGCTATAAAATATCACACTACGATTAAAAGGCGCCGAGCAGAGCGAGTGATGATGAGATTTGTGGTTTACCTAATTGACCGGTTCTTTATCGATGTGGTAGTTAACGATATCGAATTGAGATATGAAAAGAGTGTAGCTCTTTAATTTATATTCTATTTTTTATTATATAAATTAAGTCATTGAATATGACGTTGAGGAACAAATTCCCGTAAATCCCTAATTTAAGAAAAGTAGGCAAGTACTTTACATTCATTTTTAAAACCAACAGTTTTTGTTCTACCTACCTAACTATGTGCAATCAGTCAGGTTTGAATCAATAAAATACACTTATGTTTTGAATTTAATTAATCAAACGAGAGGACTGCCTCGTTGGCCGAGTGGTCGCAAGTGCGACTGCCGGGCAAGGAGTCTCGGGTTCGATTCCCGGGTCGCGCAAAGTATTACTGAGTTTTTAAAAAAAATCTCAGTGGTAGCACGGAGTCTGGAATTGTGCCCGGTATATGGCAATAGGCTCACCCCCTATTACATGGGACTCATAACATAAATAGTGAAAAGTTGGTGTTACATTATACACTAATGTGCACTAATGTGCCTACCCCTTCGGGGATAAAAGGCGTGATGTTATGTTATATGTTATGTATGTGCGAAACTAAAACAAAGAATAGTCTCATGATGATAACATTGGGCGAACAGTTAAACTGTAATGTTTAGCTAAACTAAGGTACATTTCATGATCCGTACAAAGGGTCACAGCAGAATGTTGATAAACAATAAACTATTGCATTGTACGAGAAAATATAAACATAAATATCGTTTATTTACTTTCTAAATACCGTGGAGTGAGTCAGAAACTTAGTCGGTGCTAGTATCTTGGTTAGTCCGTGATAACGTAGGACACTTGAGAGTAACTGCGTTGGTGATAAGCCGACTTCACAGATCGATTGTGTCGCCCAATAGTTCCAGATATGCCGTTTTATCTCCCGTTTATCTAGAACGTTGCTAAATCTTTCAATTTCTGGTGCAGTGCTATTATGTCAACAGTAGTGTTGATGCGAGACCTCGGTGTTATGAACTCCTAGCGGATTAACGGGACGCAACCGGTCGGAGATGGTCGATTCTTACAAACTAAAGGTACGCTTTATTTGTTATTGTTTTGTTTTCGCGTTGCTAAGTTACCTTTTAGAATTAATCTGATGAAATATTTTATATAAAGCAATCAGTTATTTTTAACATTGAATGATTTTTATCTATTTTTGTTGTAATATTTTTATCTTCGACTTTGGTTCAGATTATTTTTGGATATTCATGTGGGATGATTTTTTGTGATTCTTTTTCTATTCGATATTGAATTAAAGGACCAAGGGATTAACGTAAATTATACTTTTTTAATATTTTTTGTTTTATTTTTATTATTTCTTTTCTCGATTGAATGACAAGTGTTGCAATTTTAACTTATATTTTTAAGCTTATTTTACTAGTAATTTGTGTCAAATCCTATGTTACCATGTCTGTAATATGCACGTTTATTTATTTTCAAAATACAATATCGGTTCGATCGGTTACAACCAAAATTAAGAGATTTTACAATCGATGGATAATTCTTATTCACCGAAAGTGCAAAGTAGTCTTTTCTACCTTTTCTACCTACCTAGGCTACTAAACAACAAAAGCAAAAATATTCCGTCCAACGAGGTTTTGTTCATTCTGATAAGTAAACTGTTAATGAAATTTTGCAATGAGTCATATTATTACTGTTTGCCAGCAACCCATAATGAATCATCTTCTGCAATTTATGTGAGAATGAGATGAATTGCAGTTTGTAGTTGGTATTTACAATAATTAATAGATAATTTTTAACAATAAAAATATTTGATTTCAATAACTAAACTTTTGCCTACTTCGACGAATAACCGGCTTGATGAACAAGAAATGAGATTTTTGCATAATACATTGTCAATCAAATATTTTTAGGATTTGTACCAAATTGCACATTGTGACATAATTAATGCCATTCATAAAAAAATATTTCAAGTTTCTAGGAATGAAACGTAATTTAAAAGTTGTAGATTTGTATGTCTCTCTCTCATTAACATAGTAATTAGATTTTATTTAAAGGAATTAGGACCATGACGTTATTATTATTAAAGTTGCCCACTACATCATGATTCAGTCCTAACCAGATACGTATAATACCTACGCTATCTATGCGAATGATCGAGGCAGGACGAAACCTATTAGATTTTATTTGCAAATTGAACTTTTCATCAACATAATACATTGCGAAACCGCCCGTATTCCAATTTAATAAAGTCTTTGTTTGCTCAACTGATACCAAAGAAAGTCCACTATCCAATCCCATCAGAAATATTGTTTGAATAGTATAGCATAACGGCTGTTTGAACACCCATACTTCGCTCCTAATGTTATTACTAAATTCTCTACCTATGTAAATATAAACAAATAAACAATTGTTTGGTCGTTCGCTAAAACAATAGGTTCACGTAGTTCCGGAAACCTATTACCTATACTCTCGAAAGAATTATTTTAGTCCTAACTCTATAGAGAAAGAGCCGAGTCCGCTCCTAAAATGGTCCGCCAGTGTAGTGTGTGCAGGAGTTACTGACGGTGTCGACGTCAGTTTCATTGATACAGTATATTGTTCAAACGGTCTGTGCGTAACGTGACGTAAACATATTATGGAGGTGAGTTCACTCGTCATTTTTGTAGTCTACGTGACCTCAAATGGACCCCGTGCTCGGATTACTTCATCCTAAAAGATAAAATCGAGAACTCCTCGCGACGTCACGGACAAAACACTACAAGTACCTTCTGACATAAATAAATCATCAAAAATTGCATAAAACCTGATGTCTCCAGGAATGGATAAGCTGGCCACTGCTCAGGGCTCACGTGTGCACCGCAGCCGTAGCTGTGAGCTTCCACGCCACGTGGAGAGCTCCTCGGGAGGCGTTCATCCATGGAGGGCTGCAGTACGGACTTGCAGTCACTCTGTCATTATTGGTCGTGGCCCTACCGCTAGCATTGCTGCAGCTAGCAGTGGGACAACTAAGCCAGCAAGATGCCGTGGGAGTGTGGAGGGCTGTTCCTTTTTTTAGAGGTAAGGAATTGAGGATTAGCTTTTTAAGGGTTATATGCTAACGAGCAAACACATCACTCATTGGTATGATATCAGCACCGGTCATAGACGCTCATAACACTAGTGGGATTACTAGAGGTGCATTGTTGATTGTGAACTGATTTTGAGGTCACAACGGGTGTCAATGCAATTGCTTAGCAACTTTCAAGATTTGATTTAATTTCACCTTTTCGAGCGTGATATTTCGAAAGCTAATTATAATGATCTTGGTTTTCATATTCCTGACTTTCACAATCAAGATTCCTTCGACTTCCAATATGAATTTATGGCTTGCTGTAATTTATTGTTAAATTGTAACCATGGTATTTAATAATAGACATGTATATTTATAAATACTGAAAGAGGTGCAACATGCCATGTATGTGTATCTTTTGAAATATCTTAGCTTAGCTATCCCATTATTATAGGTTATTGTACAAAATGAATCAAATTCTTTAGTATTAATTACATTCTGATGTTCTTCTCTACGATTCTGAACGACATTTTTTGCATAAAATGCTACACATCAATATTTTTTCCATGGTCCAGTATTTCGAAAATGCAATTACTCTATCGGATCAATTATTCTTTATCACCATCAACCTTTAACTGATAACTGACGTCAGTCAGTCAGTCTGAAAGTCTTTGCGGAAGTCTATTATCAACGAACCTCTTTATTTTTTTTTAAATCTGTGAACCTAAATTTTTAAACTACCTCTTTCTTCTACGTCGATCGAGTCTTAAGTCCTAATTATATCGATCGTGACGTCAAAGATTTTACATATAATAGTGACACTCAAATATTTCCTAAAATTGATTTCTAATCGATACGTTTTTACGAATATCGGTGCCCTAATTTTTATATCAATGTTTAGGTCATAACGAAGGTTTGATATCGATCTTTGCGTTCTGAAAATCAATTAACACTTAAACAGCAATAAATCGAAGTGGGTCATGGACATAAAACTTATTATAATGTAGTAAAAATTATCTTAAATAATATAATGTCCTGATTTACTTTCTTTAATTGTATTGGTTTATTGCCGTGTAGTAAATATAACAGTTGAGTTGAATTTGTCACCACCCAGAATTTTCATATGGCTGACTTAAGAGCCGACTGGGCAGAAACAGTCTGATAAATCTCAATACGATCTGCAACCTGTTTGCCAATCTTGGAGATTAAGGCAAACCCCTCTTATGTAGAGGAGATCCAAAGTCTGGCAGTGGACTACAATGGATTGTAGGTAGAAGTATATTTAAGTGTGAGAGAGCCATGCTTCGGCACGAATAGGTCAGCTCGACCAGAGTGATACCACGGTTTCATAGAAAGCCCCCTAAAACAATGCTTGCGTGTTTTGCCGTGTTTGTGAGGTTATCGGAGGCCCAATTTCCCCACACTCCTATTTTAAATCCCTCAACCCCTAAAAGGCTGGTTACGCACTTGTAATTCTTTTGCTGTTCCATGTGTAGATTTTTTTAAATTGCGTTTTTAGTAGCTCGTTTGATCCCATGGATACTTGGAATACCCAGGCATTACAAGTGCGTTACCGGCCTTTTGGGAATTAGAAATTTGAGGATTATTGGGGATTCAAGGATTGGGGAGATTGGAGGAGGGGGGGGGGATAATTTCGTAAAAATATATTGGATATACCAATGACACATTTTGTCTTTCAGGTGTGGGCTACATGCGATTATTCATATCATTCCTTGGTTCTGTATACTCGGTGATATACCTGGCTATGACTGTGACATACTTTCTTTACACATTGAGTAATTCACTACCATTTTGGGAATGTATTGAGTTGGTACTGGATCAAGTAAGTTCTTACACTCCATAAAGAAATTGCAATCAATTAGTAAACTATGTTTAACGACTTAGTCACGTAACTTGGCGAGATGACTCAACTAGTTTCGAGGTACGCTGGGGCCCATATTCATGAGTAGGTAGTACCTATTGCTCGAAATAACATAGTGGTTATCGCGCAGCTGAGAGTAAGTCGTTAAACGTATTTTATTAATCTAACATGACTCACAAAAGTTATAATACAAATTTCTTTGAGTTTGCAATTGATTTCGAGACTGTTGTTAATGCCATTTTGTTTTTAGGAGGACTATGTGAATACCGTGAATGCTTCTACCTGTCTCCAGTAAGTTCACTACATTTATCACATGATATCATCATGCTAATTACGATTTTACTGATAGGAATATGTGCAAAGTTCTTACATTAAAATTCTATCATCAATTTTTGGTTTGGAGATTTTGACTCATTTGCACTGGTATTGGTTCATCTCGGTCATCGCCTGTTTCTCCTGTTGCTATTATTTTCTCAAGGACTTAAAGAAAATCTTTTGCTTACCTGTTTACTGTTTTGGTTTATTATATTTCAAGTGTTTGTTTCAGAGACACGTTCATGGGTCCAATAGAAGACAGACCAGAATATTATCTGGCTGTGGCCCTTATTATTCTGGTTCTTTGGATAGTATTTCCTTTTATGTAAGTAGCTTAAATTATTCGATATTGTTCAGACAGTGGATGCTTTTCACTCTAATATTTTGTCAAAGCTTATCTAGTATGTTTACTAATCGTAAGCAATTTTGACTAATATCACGCCTATGTAAGCACTTGATAACGCCTAACACAATACATTAATAAATTAGCACAGTGCACGGTTTACCTGTAACTAACCTATGTCAACTTAACCTTACATGGGAACAATTTTATCAACAGAGTGTTTTTCAGTTTTTACAATCCGGTAAAACTGATGAAACGGATATTCTACGTATTGGGACCGTTGGTGATAGTGGCATTTGTGGTGATTATGGCCTGTATCAGTGATGGGGATAACTTGACGTCACTGGTGACGAATTCTGACTGGACTAGTTTCCTAGAGCCTGGTATCTGGCATGGCGCTATCACACAAGCACTCCTGACTGCTCAGATCGCTGGTGGCTTTTTAATATCTGCTGGTGATACCGTCTACTCCAGCACTAATGTGCAGTGGTAAGTTTATTGCACATATTCTTATCATCCTTATTATACTAGCAGTGGTTGTTGTACAGCCGACAAAGTCGACTATCAACCATCATTAGGCGATATTCGCATGCACTCGACGAGAACAACCACAGAGAAAACGCCTGTTGATAGCAAGTTAGACACAGGATTTTGTTTAAAAAGTGTTATATCGTAAACTTTGCCGATAGTACGTGTCACGTGACCGTAAAAGATTTTTTCTTGTCTACTTGCTAGCTAGGGCACATTAAAAATATATTAACTCAGAGATAACACAATCATTTACAGTATCATGTAGGTTGATGGTAACGAGTTTTTATGACAGCATGTTTCTTAATCGTTTTTAATTTTTAAATTAGTTTACCAAATAGTCTCGTATACTTAGGTATGAACCTATTGCAACATCGATAGAGATAAATCTCGCATTGCAGAGCAGTGCAAATCATAACAATGATATTTTCTGCACATCAGACATAACTTCATATATCAATTCCATGACGTCAATGAGCACAATTCTATTCAGAAACTATTCCAGATAGCAATTTTAAAATGCTTTTATTATTCAATCTTTCCACAGTAGGTTTGATTGAAGTACCTTCACCAATGTGCAGCGAGCGCAGCGCATAAATTGAGGATCTGATCTAATGGAGAGCATCCGCCTGTTGGTCCCGACAATAGATCACAATAGACAGTTTGATTCCGAGGCGAGGACACTTGCTAACTCGATCATCCCACGTTTTATTCATTGATAACGAATTAAATCTTGGTTTGCACTCATAGTGGTATAGGGATTTTATTTTGATCCCTAATACCAAAAATGCGTACGTCCCGTCCGATGAAGTGCATCGTTACTATTGTTTATTAATTATAGTAACTTCGTAAAAATTACTACAAAACCTATATACCAACCGAAATGTCTGACGATCCGACAGTATTTGATACGTCATAGAATCAGACGTTTTAAAGGGTCTGTAAAAATTGGTTGCTATGACAACTACTCTTAGGCAAATGGAAATCAGGATGGCGTGGAAGTGACTCATTAGTTCCCCCACCAAGGTTTACTAAAACGGCAATGAAGAGACAAAGGAGTACTAAAAATTGGCTGGTTCAAATTGGATCAAGAATCAGATCAGATCTTCACGATCTTGAATCATAATTGACTTACGGTCTGTTCCTATCCCGTGTGAGGCGGTTATTGTTTAATAGTCCAGTCTAGTCTTGACCTGTTTACGTCTATTCTTGAGAACCTAACCTATTAAGATACAAGGTGATAGTTCCGAGGGGGGCCGGTGAGGCCAAGGCCACGTCAGAGAGTGGTTGCGTGATGTTCACGTTGGCCTTCCCCTGTCCTTGAACGGACACAAGATAGGGATATGATAGTCCTTGATAGTCAATTTTTATCCCTTACATTGACTTTTGTACTCAGTTGTTCGACTAGCGTATGCGGCATGATTATCTATTGGGATAGTATCCTCAAATTAATATTAAGGATAGGTTACACTGATGTTTCGAGTTTGCAACGTCCACGCCCGTTGATTGCAAAGAAATTTGAAAATAGAGAAACCTAATGATACTATAATTTTTTATAAGTGCCTAGAATCCGTAGTCCTCTTGTTTAACAATCACATTTGCGACTTTGACCTTCCTTGGCACAAATGTTTACCTAACCACGCTTTTCACATTTTAGGACATCAGTCGCGATTGTGGGGGCGAATATACTTTCAACATGGGTGGGTCTGGTCTTCTGGTACTCCATAAGTGGTCCAGATAGGGATACTACCGTATTTGCAGTGCTCGTCCAGGCATACCAACTCGGAGAAGACCCTGACACTGACTTAGCTTGGCCACTGACCATATTCCTCACTTTACTTCTCTCAGGATTGATAACTATGGTGAGTTTTATGTCTGAAGGGCTTCAAGTAATAATAACATTACATAACATAAACTCTTTTCTCTCAAACTTGAGATGCAATAACCCGCATTGATTGTTTTTGAATTTATGTTCTAGCCAGGTTTACCTTCAGCCATCATTTTCAGATTCCGTTAAGTTAGGTACTGATAATGTTGAAATGGAAATCAGCATGAAACCACTAGAATTTAACCCCGATATGAAGAGTTACCTAATATTTTAAAGAATGCGAAACATAATGAAACTTTAACTTGCACATTTAACTGCGATATGTGAAAGGCTAAAAGTCTAGCTTCCACTAAGACTATCAGACACCGCTATGGTTGGCGAAGATTGTTACGAGTTGAATAGTAATGTTCATAAAATATGACTTCGTGACTCCTCTGATAGTCAACAGCACTACTCCATCGGTCATGGTCAGGAGACTGAAGCAAAAAATCCAGCTATTCCTATAAATACCTTAGCTAACAACACATTATTTATCCTGTTACAGCTCTCTCTTCTATACCCCGTGTACGACCGATTTCGTCGCATTGGTGGGGTCAAATGGCGCCTGCTTTCGTTTCTGGGGTCTGTGGTCAGTGCCTTCATCTGCCTCGCTGTACTGTGGGGTCGTCTGCCAGTCCTCAACCTGTTAGCTGATTATGCCGTGCCTCTCCTCATCAGCATCGCCACCGTGCTCGAGATATTGGCTTTCGTGTTCATATATGGTGCGTGAATTTTGAAGTTTTATCAAACTTGTAAGAAATGATCAGTTTTTATCATAAATTATGAAAGGGAATCAGTTTTCATTCCTTTGGTAGATGATCATTCTGTGATTGATTGAACAATTGGTTTAAGTATCATTCGATTTATTAGAGGCTAACACTCGAGGAGGATGTCGAGTGTTTTAAAAGCATTTGTTCTGTTGATATTCAATACCTATTTACTTGCACGTAAATTGATAACCTATTGGACTATTATAATACAAATGGACCGATTAATGCCAGATGATCACACCAATATAGCATATAACCTTAGTTCAGCTTTACGTTAGGTGCATACGTAAGTGAGTTTACGAGTTGTACTTTACATACTAAACACATTTTACTAGAACTTTACCACAGATTAGTCAGTGAGATGAAAATCACAATCCACTTTATTAAACATTTTGTTATAACCTACAAAATTAGTGTGGCAGATTTCAACATAGTAAACTCTGCTATATCTAAATGAGACAATTTTTGAGTGCTACCTTCGCTTGTGTTGTGTTTCGTCGTGTGTATGAGGTTAGCGGAGGCACAATTACCAAAACACAGATATATCAGTTATGACTATACACTATTTATACTAAGCAAAAATTGTACGAAGTGCAACGTCCTCTAGTATAGTGAAAATTGACAATAAAAACCATACTCCTTATTTTACAGGTTGGAAAGTCCTCGTGGAAGACGTTGAATTTTTAACAGGACGAGATTTACCGAGGGTTTGGGTGTTGGGTTGGTGTGCCGCCCCTGGTATTATAGCACCATTCTCCATTTGGTGGGTGACGATGTGCTTCATCCAATACAACTCCTGGTTCGAAGCTCCCTGGCCAGTCCTCACTATCATTTCGACTGCAGTCCTGGCATTACTCATATTCATTTTGTTTGCCACAGTGGCCATCGTGAAGCAGGTCCAATATGACTTTATTGGGGTAAGAAATACTTGAGTAATCATATTTACACTGATGATAGACCATTAGACTATGGATTATGGTCCATTTGTCAGCTACAAATACACCTACATGAACAGACATCTTAACTATTGCAAATGAGGATCTTGATAGTTAATACGACTTGGTTATATTATAGGAGTCCTCTTCTGTTCTTATATATACCACTTTCGTGCTCGCTCATTTACCCTCTATATTATAGTTTTATGCGGAAAGCGAAATTTTATTAAATGTTTTTATGCTGCGCCAATATTTTAATATTTCAGTTTGCTGGTAAATAATGAGCGGCTAATTCAGCGATTTTTTAAATAATACTGCTGTCGATGTTGCATTGCAAAGGTTTAAGTTGGTTTCTGGCGTCTTTTTCCACCTAGTCTCCATTATTTAACTACTATGTTGTCTAGCATCATTAAATGCTTCTATGTCGTGTTCAGAGATTTAATTTTAAGAGCATCAAGTTTAGATTTTGCTAAGTTATCATTAATACCAAACATAGTAATAATTATGAATAGATTATCAGCACATGTAGAATTATTATTTTATCTATTCTTAGTACCCTCGGATTTTCCAAACAGCGAAAGTTTTGTTTTGGTAGCATAATGTTTCATATAACGTGTGTAATACAAGTGCGATAAGACGTAGGTACCGGATTTTTATTAAAATAGACATAATTTTGTGTTATCAAGTTGCATTCAATCAATCATCAGATTCAACGAGTTCCTCACACACTCATAGATAATTACATACATATCCGCATACACATTAAGTATGCACATGCGAATGTGTCGCCATTTCCCTAAGCAATGGCTAATATACTTTTCCTATTGCCTTAATTTTAAGGTCGCAGCCTTGTCTAGTGTGACACACGTAGAACTCATCACTAAGTAGTTCCTGTCTTAGAGGAAATATTTATTCTTCCGCAGAAGTTGAAGTCATCGTTCAAGCCATCGCGCCACTGGGGACCGAGAGACCCGATCACCCACTACTACTGGCTGGCCCGACGAGACGAGCTAGAGAGAGGAAACATTCACCGCAGGAGATACCAACGAAGGCAGTTAGGACAACTATCCGGGAGGCCAAGCTTCCTGAATTTGGCAAATTCTCTCGAAGATAAGACCGAGGCGTCAAGTAGCATTGAGAAAATGCGGTCAAACTCTGATGACTGGCTGTATACCGTCTGCAGGAAGCAGCAGTCAGCCTCAGCCAGTGGCAAGAAGAGGACCAAGTCTTTAGATTGGACTTTCCCCAACATGAAAGTATCTAGTACTACAAAATTGAAGACTTTGGATTGCAGTAGCTTTACAATGGAATCGTTTCAGTCTCAAGAAAGTAATTATAACGTATCCAATAAGCCGTCCTACAACGGCAGCGCACCACTTTATGATATTACAGATAGATTTCCTAATGACAAATCAATGGAAAAGTTTTGAAATCTTAGTTGCGATCATATTCTACTCTGACGTGGATATTAATCAATCAGACACCCGCCTTTTATACCTGAATGAATGAATTTATTATACAGGTACGTACTTTGTTGTTTTGGACATTTGTAGATACATTCTATTTCTGTCAGTATTGTTAGTAGTGAGTAAAATGAACACTGATTAAAGTATAGTTATTCTATCTTTAGGCAAGAAAACATATTTTTCAAGGAAAGAAAATGCTCTAAAGTAATTTTTATAGTTATTTTATGAATAAAAATATGGAATATTTTGTCCTGATACACGTGACATTACGACCTCGCTAGGAAATGAGTGGCTTACTCATACATAGCTCCTTTGTTGGCGCACTGAGCCATTAGATATGTTCGTCACGATCGCTCGCTGTGAACTATACGTCGCAGGCGCAAAGTATTAACGTCCACTTGAGTCAGTAATGTCATTTGTGTGACGATGGCCAGGTCCATAAATTATTGGCTTTAGTTCTTGCGCAGATTTTCATGCTATATGGAATCGTCAGTCAGATAATCAATCACACCACCACCACGTTGCAATGAGGGTTAAGTATTTAGTACACAAGCCTATGTAAGTCCCATATGATAGGAGATGAGCCTATTACCCACATACCTAGCACAATTCTAGATGCAATGCAATTTTTATTAGAATCCCATAATTATTTCTTCAAATAACAATCAGAAGTGAACTTACATAAACAAATAACTACTAAGTAAAAGTTGCAATTCATCACTTAGTGGGTTAGAAAACCGTGCCAAACACTTGAGATTTTGCTAATGAACCTATAAAACCTACGCAAGCTAATAAACCTCGTGCTAAGTAATAAATACAGTTCATTATTTTGACAGTGGGCGCAATGGCCAACAAGTATTTATTAATGATGAATATTGGAATTATGTCGCGGTCAATATTTTAATAAGTGTAAATTTGTGGGCACGGCAGAGTAGGTATACATTTGTCATGACCAATTCTGAAGAGAAGGGAAGCGCGTAAAGACGCGGGTCTCATGAGAGCCGACTAAGAGACTCCATGTATAACAGATCCCCGAGTAACAGTACTCTCTTATAAAACTAATCATCATTAACTGCTATTTCCAATCCACTAAGCTTGCAGGTTATGCCAAGCCCCTTTTGTAGGAAGGTCTATAATCTACGGCCTCGCATAAAACCGACGTGAAACAACGCTAGCGTTGTGTTTTGTCGTGTGAGTTCGGAGGACCCAATTACCCCCTCCCCTATCCCCAGTCTCCCCAATCCCTGAATCCCTAACAATCCTCAAATTCCTAATCCTCAAAAGGCTGGTAACGCACTTGTAACGCTTCTGGTGTTCCGGGTGTCCATGGGCGATGCCGATTGCTTACCATCATGTGATTTGACTGCTCATTTACCGGTTTATCCCATAAAAAAGGTTACCTCAGGGTTTTTGACGACGAGAATATTTCCAAGACTTTTTCTAACTTAGAGAAACCTGATTACGTGTTAAACGTAACGTACTTCTTAAAGGAAAGTCATTCTTAACCTGTTAAAAGCGGTTTAGTCATAATCCGCACGCTCTGTTTATTTGGTATTTGTCAATTAAAGGAAGTATTCCGATTGATAATGAGGAATTGATGACGATAAAGGGATTAGCTTATTTCTCATAAAACATAATTATCTATTTCAAAAAAATGATTATCCCTATTTAAAGAGTTCAGTAGGGTAGCGTAATCACTTGTCTGAAGATTAGTTAATCTACTAGAGTACATGATTGATGTATAACACCTAATATTTCTTTGTCAAGAAGTCGCAGTGATTTCCACAATGGTTTATAAACCTTGAGTGATAATTTACTGTGTACTGTAACTTAAACAGTTTTCTGTCGCTCGTCTTGAATGGCTCTAGTTTTCGACACCGCTTTCCATTAGGTCATCTTCTTTTTCCATAGCCCTTGTGAGTCCGATGACTTTAAGCTGACTACTGACTTTATGTACGTACCTACTTGGTGGTGGTGATAGGCAGACATTTTATCAATATTTCCACTTAATCTATCAATTTTGAATACTAATACCTGATATCTGATTTTGACCGGTTGTTGTCCTTGATTTCAAAGAATTTCTTTTATCTTTTCCTGACCGAAAATAAAACAATGTAAATAAAGATACGATGCGAAGTGGCTTTTAGAGTTTTTACTGAGGAATGCATAAAACCAAAGAAATAGAGCTGAAAGGGAGAACGTTAACCCAATAGAAGGTGATCCTGAGCTGAAGTGAATATAACGTGGGAGAGCCAAATTTAACGAATGCACCGGCTCTCAGAAAACCAGCGTGAAACAACGCTTACACGCAAGTGAGGTTACCGGAGGTCACCCTTCCACCATCCCTAATCCTCAATTATTCAAATACTAACCCCTAAAAGGCTGGTAATGCACTTGATGTACCTCTGGTATTGCCCATGGGCCGTGATAGCTTACCATCAGGTACCGTATTTCCATTAAGTTCGTTTAGTTTTCATTCGTCATCGTTTCAGCTCAGGGTCACCATTCAAGATTACCATTAATGTTAATGTAATCGATTATATTATCCATATTATATTAATTGTAGTGTAATTTTTCTTTAATTTACATAATTTAAGTTAATTTATTCGAGGTAAAGTTATGAATTCTTGTAAAAAAAATTTGATTAAGTAAATTTTTTTAGAAAATTTTGTTTGTTGATTGTCGTTGATGTAACTTTTTTTTAAAGAGAATTGGCGAAAGCAGTGCTCGTCTGTAAGCGATTGTAACATTTTTACTCATAATGGAATTGTCTGTTGTTTTATGTACTAATGTAAACAATTGTTGGTGGGCCAATAAAGATACGTAAAAGAAATAAAAGAAAAGAGCGTATTCCTTATTAACTCGTTGACTACCGTCATTATAGACACAATTAAAGATCAATAGGTTGCGGTCACCGGTGACCGCTCGGTGTTTGACAGTTTAAAAGACCGGCAACGCACCTGTGACTCTAGTCATGCGGGTGTACCTACATGAGCGGCGCTGATCGCTTACCATCAGGTGATCCGTCTGTTCGTTTGCTATTTCAAAGTGTTTGTATTTAAAAGTGTTTGTATGTGGATAAAATAATAATAAATGCTTTGATGACTTTGAAAAGTAGGTAAACAGTGTAACTCGCTCGAATGATGAATTAATAAAATCAATCGACTAGCCTAAAATCGGTGACCGACCTAAAACATTTTGACATTCGACAGTAATCAGTCTTAGGCGATATATGAACGGTTCACGTATAAACAGTTAATCCAATATTTTTGTATGATTGATACAATACGCCCTCTTGGCTCTTTGTTAATCAATGTCCAGTAACTTTAACGGTACTTAGTAAGTATAGTTTATTAAGTGAGGTTTTTTGTATATAGAAATGAACGAATTTCTATATAGACTGTCTCATTCAGTTAATATTTTTATAGTTTTGATTCCGTTTCTAGAGTGCTAAATATATTATTAGAAACTAGTCAGGAAAGAAAACTCTAGTATGAAACATTTGTTAATACCCCTACGAGTGACGTCACTCTGCCGGTCGAGGACGAAATTCATCGGATAGGCCCCCCGTACCCAAGAATAGAACGGGGGCCCTTTCAGCTGTGCGGTAGCCCGTGGCATTTACCCGACTTGTCGTCACCCGTAGTAACGTCACTGATCCATAATCCTTCTGCAAGTATTGCAAATTGGAGTGAATTATATATTTGACAGATACTGGGTAGCAGCGCTCCAACCCGCCTGTCCAGCATAGAGATTGTGGCATAACATTTTGTACATATATATATATAAAGGAGATCCAGTAGACCAGCAGAAGATTGTTCTTTCATGGAATAGGGCGGCTAACGAGCCTTAGTATCGGGTGATCCTGATGGTAAGCAATCGGTGCCCGCGCCACCCATCCGTAATACCAAACGAGTTAGGTATATATATGTGCTCTGATCTTGTGTCTGACCTTTCACCGCTCGTCTCAGAATGTCTTCCATCGAGGAGGCATAAGTATTTTTCTGTAGAAATTAAAAGACATAAATTTGTAAAGTTCTTCGAAAATATTGTTAATGACGAAGCGAAGTATGAAGATGTTCTTTCCTTCCTGTACGTACGTATTAGCCGTTTTTCTTTCACGTTATAGATGATAGTGACTATCTATTAGGTGACAGTGTTTTGTTTATTTATGTAAATATATTCCTGTCATTGCCATATGACTAGGTACTTACCAGATTATACTGGTATCGCATCAATGTGGATTATTACCTATTTATCGATAGTAATGTTGTTAAACATAACTGATAAATTACTTGATTTGTACAAAAATACTTAGGTAGGTAATCTTAATCTGTGATTTGCCCAATGGTTTGTATTCCGAGAATTTTGGTAAGTACAGAATAACCCAAGTGTATTTGATATTTTGATTTTCCCCAACTTATGGGTCGAAGGCAGACCTTCTTACGAGTCACATCAAGTTTGTGTCCTTTAAACTAACGACACGAAAAACAAGCACAAGTAATGAAAAATCCTGAGAAGGTTTAATGATTGTGTGATTTGAAGATACCTACTTATTTCTTCACATTACCTCAGATAGGACGTTTTTCTTACATCCTTATTGCTTATTTACAGGAAAAACTACAATAGTTTGTGTGTTAGTAAGACTTAGATCGGTTCGCACTGTTGACGTTTGTGCGCAAATCACGCGACGCGCGTCACAGTTACACTTAAAACGCAATTAACTACTTCGAAAAGAACTGTATAAGATAATTTATTACTATTATTATTATTTTCCTTATAGTAAAAGTGTTTATGGTTTTAGATAACAGTAATACGTGTTTTAAGATAATTTTATAGGATAATATACGCCCTTGCTACGTACCGATATTTTTCAAAAAGTTAGTTAGGGAATTAAATGTCTAGTGTCCCTAATTTTAAGAAAGTGTTGGTTTTAAAAAGTGTTACCTAGTGAATGGATTTAT